TCCCACGCTATTGCCCCGACGACTCCGTGCGCCTGGTCGTGCCTGCCTGGCTGCCCACAAAACCACATTGCCGTGCCTTCCCAGAGCCCCATTGACATCACCGCCCCAATATTGTCTCCTCTTTCCCTTCCCACGCACTTTTGCACACATCCGCAAACGGGAGTTCTCTCTCAACAATTCTCCGTACACAAACACAACAGTCGTCGACCACGGCACCCACACGCCAGGGTCTCCCTTTGGCTCTCCTCGGCTCCTTTGCTCGAGCAATGGTGTGTCCCGACCGTTGGAGTCGCGTGACAAGACCATCTGCACTGTGGAGCGTGCCTGCACAGCTGCGATAGTCTCTTCGGCACACGACCTGTCTTTTTCTTTTTCTTTTTTTCTTTTTCTCTTCTTTTTTCCGTTCGTCCGTCCTTTGTGTTTCCGACAGTTGACACGCATCCGCCACAATGCTGTTCCTGCACCAGATCGGCAGCGTCAAAATCGGCGAGATCGTCCGCTACAACGTCACATACACCCCCGCTCTCGACCGCATTCTCCCTGCCCCCGAATACCTCTATCTCAAGGTCCGCAACACATCCAACAGTGCCCTGCGCGCCGCCTTTGTCCACGGGCCCTACACACTCTACGTCGACGCCTACCCGGCTCACTTCGACCCCAACGAGAAGTTCGCCCACCCCCGCAAGTATGGCGTCCCCGAGTTCGAGCCCATGCTCAAGGCCGGCGGCAGCTGGACCTGCCGTCTTCTCGTGCCCGAGCACGTCCGTGACGGCGCCGGCTCCGGCACGGGCACGGGCACCCATACGGGCGAGGATGGCAGCCCACCGAGCGTCAGCTGGATCATCAACGTCAGCAGCCAGGTCATCTTTTCCACCTCGGCGGCCGTCCACTTTGAAGTCCTGCTGGCCCGCGATCCAAAAGCCCTCGAGAGCGGCGGCGGCATCACGGCGGGCATGCCTGTCCTTCTCGGCGGCAGCGGCGACGGACACGGCAGCGGAAAAGGTGCCAGCAGTGTTCACGGCCAGGTCCTCCAACCCGGCAGGATGACCGACTACCAGCGCGGCCGCGACGGACGCCACCCTGACCAACCCCGCGGTGTCTTTTCGCGCGCCATCCGCATGCGTCTCGAGGACACGACGGCACTGTGGAACAAGCCCGAGCTGCCCGGCTGGAGCAAGCCGCCGTCTTCCACGCGTATCCGACCCGACGACAGTGGCGTGACCGTCGAGGCCGTATCTGGCGGCGCGCTGGGGAGGAAACACCAGAACAACCAGAACAACCAGGAAGAGCAGCAGAAGGAGCAGCAAAAGACGCTCGAGCAGAATCATGAGTCCAAGAGCCAGGCTACGCAGCAGGCGCGCGACACCATTCCGGCGCCAAAACCGGGCCAAAAGAAGAAAAAGATCCACTTGGTGATCCTAACCCACGGCTTGCACAGCAACTTAGGCGGTGACATGCTCTATATCAAAGAGAGCATCGACGTGGCCGCACAGCAGGCCAAGATCGACCGAAAAGCCCGCAAAGAAAAGGAGCGGGCCGCAAGAGCCGAGGCACGCAAGAAATCGGGTGCGTCGGACAGAAGAACCGGCGAGGAAGACGACGACGACCTCGATGACGAAGATGAGGAGGATGTCATTGTGCGCGGCTACCCGGGCAATGCGACGCGCACCGAGCGGGGGATTAAGTATCTCGGCAAGCGCCTTGCACGCTACATCCTGTCCATGACCTATCCCGACCAGCCCTTTCTTCCGTCGACCAAAAAGGTGTCCGAGAATGCGGCCGTGGCCTTGCACGGAGGCCACCCGAATGACGCGATGCGCGAGCGTGGGTCGCCGGCGCACAAGCACAGCACCATCCAAAACGCCCCCGCCGAGAGCTTGCGCGGGTATCAGTTCACAAAGATTAGCTTCATCGCCCACTCGCTTGGCGGCCTGGTCCAGACCTACGCCGTCGCCTACATCCAGAAGCACTCGCCGCAGTTCTTTGACTTGATTGAACCTGTCAACTTCATTGGCATGGCCTCGCCGTTTTTGGGCCTCAACCACGAAAACCCCATGTACGTCAAGTTCGCCCTCGACTTTGGCCTCGTGGGCCGCACCGGCCAGGATCTCGGTCTGACCTGGCGCGCGCCCACCATTGCCCGCAGTGGCTGGAGCTCGCTTGTCGGCAACCTGAGCGACAGCGCCCATAAAAAGGTCCTGGGCGAGCCCCAGCCCGAGTCCAAACCGCTTTTGCGTATCCTGCCGACGGGACCCGCCCACACGGCACTAAAGAAGTTCCGCAACCGCACCGTCTACTCCAACGTCGTCAACGACGGCATCGTCCCGCTGCGCACCAGCTGTCTGCTGTTCCTCGACTGGCAAGGGCTGGACCGCGTCGAAAAGGCCCGGCGCGAGGCCGGCCTGGTCGAAACAGTGGTCGGGTTTGGCTGGGCAGAGCTCGTCGGAAACAATGCGACGACCCCACGCACCGAGAAGTGGGATCCTGTTGACTTTGCCGACGAAGACGACGAGAAGGAAAGCGAGGGCAAGGGCAAGAGGACGAGCGTAAGCGAAAGCGGCGCAAAGAAGACCGAGACGGCAACAGGCGACAATGGTACGAGCGGCACCAGCACGCCAAATGTCGAAGGACACAACCAGCACGAGGTGCCACAGCCGTCCAAAAACGCAACACAGGACGACGACCGCCAGAGTCTCCGGGCGGTGGCAGTGTCGTCCTCGTTTGACCACGACGAGCGGCCGAACATCCCGTCACCGGCCTTGCTGTCGCCCGACCCCAGCAAGCTCACAACCGCGTCGACGAACAACTCGAACCCGTTTAGCAACTTCTTCAGCAACCTCTTCAAGAATAGCAGCAGTGGCAGCACCGATGACCCGACGCACAGCCCAGCCGGCACGACACCACGGCACGGCTCCGTTGCCTCGGGCGGCGGCTCCTCGTCCAACCTCAAGGCCCTGGGGCAGGACCAGCACTCTCACCCTCCCACCCAATCGGCCAAGCGGAGCAAGCAAAGCAAGATATATCAGAGAAGCCAAACGCTGCGGTCGAGCGACTGGGATGCAGTGACGGCTACGTCAGCCTCGTCGAGCAAGTCTCGCGTGACAACGGGCCAGGAGCTCGATGAGGACGCCTCCAATGGCGGTTCGGCAAGTGGCGGCATGTCGGCGCCGCCCCGGACGTCCTTTTTCGAGTCGGCCACAGACATTATCAACCCCAAACTACCATCGGTTGAGTTTCTCATCGACCCGTCCAAGCGCCCGCGCGCCATCTTCCACGACCGCATCTACCACCCGTCCGACATCCCCGCACCCCCGCTCAAGCGCCGCTCAACGGGCAACCTGGCCTTGCGGCGGCTGTCGCTCCAACAGCGCTCTAAGATCGCGCCGGGCGGTGCCAGCGGCGGTGGCAATGCTGACAACAGCGCGAGCAACAGCAAGTCGCGGTCGTCCTCACCGTTCCAGGAACGGAGCCTGGCGTCGGGCGGTTCCGGTGGTGTCCCTCACATGGACTCGGGCCTCTCGGCACAGGACTACGACGACATGGTCAACACGAACCCAGACCGCGAACCGGACGAAATCATTGACACGTCCAGCATCAAGGTCGAAGAAAAGATTGCCCGGGCGTACCACCGCGGCCTGTCGTGGCGCAAAGTGCTCGTCAAGCTGGAGCCCGACGCGCACAACAACATGGTTGTGCGCCGCATGTTTGCCAACGCCTTTGGCTGGCCTGTGGTGAAGCACATGGTGGACGCACACTTTAGCGATTCGGCAGCAGCGCGCATGCGCGACGACGACGAGGACAACAACGAGCGCGCGCGGCCTCTGTATGAAGCGCCGGACGAGCACGGCGCCGAAACGCAGACCCAGAAGCCGGACCAAGGCCACGAAAACGCTCAGGCGGATGCTGCCAGCGACGACGGTGACGCCCGTGAGGCCCAAGACCAGGCCACGGATCTACCCGAAACGCCCCTGGGTAGCCAATCGAGGCCGCCGCACCACGACAGTGTGGCCTGGGCGGAGGGTGACTGGAACGACTCGGGCGACGAAAGCGACTCCCCCGACGGCAGCACTGGCGCGGCAGACGACGACCTCAACCTGACCTACGGTGCCTCCTCTTCCAAGGAACAGAAGCAGGTGCCCAAGTCGCCGCTGTCTTCATCCACGACGGGCGTGTCTGTGACGGCGACGGGCGGCACGACGACCGGGCCTCAATCACCGCTTAGCCACCCTCTATCGAGCCCAGCAGCTGACAGCATACTCCCGGAGTTGAACATCTCGGCGCCAAAAGAGGAAGGACATCGATCTTGATTGAAGCGAGCAGTACTTGGAAAGTGTAACAGAGCATGGGCGGTGTTTGTTGTCTCTTTTTGGATTACATATTTTGAATTCTCATGTTTCTGATGTCCCGGCCCTTTTCGGCTGTCTCTTTCTTGTACATACCCAGCACTGGCATTGTTTTTTTTTATGTCCCCATTAGTTGAACACGGGCGGTCATTTTTTTCTCGTCATAGCACTCAAGCATTATTATAGAAGCATTGGATATTACATATGTTTTTGGTCTTGTGTCTTCATCTCGTGTCTTATTTACACGGCAACCGCGATTTTATGACAGATTCGCCGCTTCATTGACAGCCGTCTTAGATGACCGACCAAAGAGACGCCGGAACCCACTCGCACCGCCAGACGACCGGCCATTGGGCGTCTTGGGTCGCAGGCCGGACATGTCGCCCGACTTTTTGGGGCGCAATGTTGGCGGAGACAGGGGCGGCATGGGTGGCGGCGAGCTTGGCGGTTGCGGATGCAGATGTTCGTGCGGATGCAGATGTTCGTGCGGATGCAGATGTTCGTGCGGATGCAGATGTTCGTGCGGATGCAGATGTTCGTGCGGTTGCGGCTGCAATTGCGGTTGCGGTTGCTGCGGTCCTCGTAATGAGGGCACCATTGGCGGCGGCTGGGGAAAGGCAAAGTCGTCGCCAATGTTGTTGCTGTTGAGGCTGCTGGTCATCGTCGAGGACCGATCTCGCCGACCATTCTGTTGATGTTGTTGTTGATGATGCTGCTGGTGCTGCTGATGGTTTTGTTGTGCTTGTTGTGCTTGCTGTGCTTGTTGTGCTTGTTGTGCTTGTTGTGCTTGTTGTGCTTGTTGTGCTTGTTGTGCTTGTTGTGCTTGTTGTGCTTGTTGTGCTTGTTGTGCTTGTTGTGCTTGTTGTGCTTGTTGTGCTTGTTGTGCTTGTTGTGAGGCTGTTGACGGCTTGCGTGAGAGAGAAAATACCATCGGGGCTGCCGTTGACGCCGCCGACGCCGAAGGCGTTATCGTAGGCTTTCCCGGGCCTGGACGGTAGCTTGCGCGGGGCGCAGTCGCTGATGTTGGTGAGGGAATGTTCCATTTTTCCAAAATATTGGGATCGCCCGTGAGCTCAAAGCGCAGCCGCTGTCTTTGTCGCTCCTTTTCCCGCTCCCGTTCTTGCTCCAGGTAGCGGTTGCTGACCGGTGGGGACGACGCCGTGGCGATGCTGTCGCCGAAGCCGTGCTCGTCCATAAAGTCGCCAAACGAGCTGGGCTGTCGTCGCTCCGGCAAAATCTCGTCTTCCTCCGTGCGCAGTCTTTCTTGTCGTGTCGTTTCGGTCTTCGCCTGTGCCTCCGCCTGTGCCTCCGCCGCCAGCACGTTTTCTTCCGTCTCGTCGTCGGTCTCCTCGCCCTCGATTTCGCCTGGGTACGCTCGGTCTTCATCGTCGTTTACGACCACATACCACCGGATCTCTTCGCCGCGTTGCAGCTGGTCCCGCAGCTGCTCGAGCCAGCCTGACCCCTTTTTTCGTTTTGTCAGCGTCGCGCCGCTGACGCCGCCGCTGCCTTCGCCTGCGCCCAGTGCAGCGCCCAACGACGCGCCCTCCTCCGACGGCCCGGCCATGGACGGAAACCCGTCTTTGGTCTTTTGCTCGCGCCGCCACCGCTGCTGCTGCAGCCGCTCGTACCGCGCCATCTCGTCCACAATGGACGCCGACAGGTCGATGCGCGCTACGTAGTCGGCGACGTACGCATGGGGCCGCGACATTTCGTCCAGTCGCTGTGTGTCGTGCTCCTCGAGCAGCTTGATGGGCGAGCGGTCTTGCCGCGCCAGCACCTCGTCGCGGCCATCGTTACGGCGCGTGACACCTGCGACCGGTGTGGGGCCGGAAAGTGGCGCTGCGCCAGCTGCGCCGGGTGTGCCAGCTGCGTCATTCTTTTCCTTCACCTTGGCCGCCTTCTCCTTGTCCTTTTTGTCCTTGCGCGACTTGCTCTTTGCGCGTGCTGCCTGCGATATGGACTGTCGTCGCCCCCGCTGCTCGGATGCGGATGCGGCTGCCGCGGCCGTGGCCTCGGCGGCTTTCTGAGCGGCGGCGGCGGCGGCTACCACAGCTGCTGCCTCGGCCTCTGCGTCTGTCTCGAGGTCCTGCGTCGGTAAAAAGTCAAATAGTCGACCAAAGGCATCGAGCAGGCTGCGTGTGGTGGCCGGGCGGATGACCCAGTCGGGCGAAGCATCCTCGAGGTCCTGCACAATGACAAAGACGCGGATGCTCGGCCGGTGCCATCGGAAGCCGTGGCAGAGGTAGGTGGGCATCTCGGGAGGAAGGGGGGCAAAGAGGCGGCGAGGTATGTGGAGAGGCTTTGGAGGGTAGCTTTGAAGGATTGCACTGTGAGAAAAGTGTGCCAGAAAGACGGGGAGCAGAGATCTGTGCGGTGGGGGACAGGCGGAAAGAGCTGACCAGTTCCAGATCCAGACGAAGAACGTCAATTGGCGGCCCGATTCGCCTGAATTGAGGTGCGGGCGAGGGGGAAATAGAAATACCTGGGGATACGGGTCTTGCCGGCGGCAGAAATGCGAGGCAGAGGCGGGAGAGAAGCAATGAGAAAAGGCGGGCATGCACGACAAGAGAGCCAAAGAGCGGATGCTCCAAAGAGACGTCAACGAGACAAGAAGTTGCCGCCAATGGGCGATCATTATTAGCGGCAAGACAGGAGAGGAGCTAAGTAGCTAAGCTGGCAGGAAGGGGGCAGCTATGGAGGAAACGAGCGAGGCGAGGTTCCATTCGAACAAAAGGGACGAATGAGACTGCCAAGCAAGAACAAGGGGTAGACATGAAATGGAACAGAAATATTTGTGGAAAAGAGTTTAGTCCGATTTGCCTGGATAAATTACATCGTGCTGATAGCTCAAAAAATATTTACGAACCTTGCACGCTTCACAATACCGACTGGGCATATAGTTCGCAGGTTCTGTTTCAGCTTCTGCTTTGTTACCACCGATGTGTTTCTTGGTACGCTGTATATAACTGCGATCCGCGTGCTTGTCAACGGACATCGTCTGCCTCTTTCCCTCTCTGTCCAACTGTTGCACCTTCCCCGCGGCACTACCCGGCCGGCAACGAGCCCGAGCGGGGTGGAGCCCTAAAAGGCTCTTTGCCAGGAAAGAGCTTAGCACTACCGTTCATCTCGACATCGTGTCTTCCTTCGGTGTCGTGACACATGCGGTCAATATCAAAGCACCAGGCCTATCGGATTACCAAACAGTATTGTGGAGAAAAGGAGGTGTGAATGGGGTTATGCAGTGTTTACTTTGTAGAGGGCTGCAAGGGGCTGCAACAATTATATGCATACAAAGACATGTCAGAAAAGAAATGCAATTTTTGATGCCGTCGCTCTATGCCAGAATACGAATAGTACAAATCGTACAGCCAAAAAAGAACAAACAAGATCGCGAGCAAGTCGAGACCTAACCACGACCACGTCCACCGCCACGACCACCACGACCACCACGACCGCCACCGCCACGGCCGCCACCCCGGCCACGGCCGCCGCCACCGCCACTTCTGCCGCCACCCCGACCGCCGTCTCGTGCCGGGCGCGCATTCTTGAGCTTCTTCTGCTCCATGACCTTGCGGGCCTTGCGGACGTCGTCCATGCCCTTGACCTCGCGATAGCTTCCCTCGCCGTCCTTGAAGCGGCCGACCCGGTTCTCGCGGGCCTCGGTTACGCGCTTCTTTTGCACGTGGTAGTTGCCGCGGAACTTGTCAGCCTCCTTGGGCGCCAGCTCCTTCTTGTGCATGAAGCGACCAGTGCCCGGGCCGGCATTGAAGCCACCACGGCCGCCAGGACCAGAACCGCCAGCCGCGGGGTTCTGCACCTGGCGCGCCAGTCCGCTGCGCTCGGCATCGCCGACCTGCGGCAGACGGCCGAGGCGGTTGGCCTTGCGCCACTTGTCGAAGCGGCCGCTCTGGAAGGACGCCGCAATTTTGACGCCGCTCTCGCCGCGGATCATCTTGCCACCGCCCTTGCCGCCCTGCACGCGGCTACCGTCCTCGTCGTTGGCGCGGGCCACGTACTTGCCCTGCTTCTTGTCCCAGCGCAACTTGGTGCGCGTGGGGACACCAAACGCCTTGGCGGTGTCGTCGTTGGTCAGGTCCATCGTGGCGTCGCGGGCCGCCTGCGCAAAGCTGTTGAAGCCGCTGTCCATGTCGTCGTCGCCACCGCGGCCGTGCACGCCGTAGCCGCGCTCTTCGACGGCGCGCGCATCCATGCTGGGGCCTGCGCGAGGGGTGTAGGACATGTACACGGAGCTGTCGACCCACGAGGCGGCCCCCGCGCCGCCGACATCGGTGTCACCCTCGCCATTGTCGACGGCCCAGGCATCCGCGTTTTCGAGCACATCTGCGCCGTAGTCCTCATCCTCGTCATCGTCATCCTCCCATGGGTCCTCTGCCTCGTCGTCGTCGTCGTCGTCGTCGCCGCCGCCACCGCCACCACCATTGACCAGTGCCGCAGCACCCTCTTCGTAATCCGCACCGTTGATTTCCGCCGCAGAGGGGCCGTCGTCCTCACCACCATCGGTTGTGGTAGGCACTCCGCTGGCGCTACGCCGCGGGCCAGCGCGTTTCCGCATTGTGCGCATGATTTCGGCTGCCTTGCTCTTCATGGCCTTCTTGTTCTGGTGGTGGACCTCAAAGATGGACTCTTGCGGCTTGTACCCCGTGATCTTGGCCAGCAGGTCTTCGCGTGCCAGGCCGACGGAGGCACCTTCTGCGCCGTGCTCATCTGTGCCGCCGGTGTCCGTGCTGTCACCGAAGATGGGGTGCAGCTGCGACCAGCCACGGCTACGAACGATCTCGCGCGCACGCTTGGCGCTCTGGCTGGAGGCGGACAGCCGCGTGCGGAAGTACTGCTTCTGGGCCTTGGACGCGACCTGGCGCAGCAACTCAACGTCGTGCACGTCGCCCAGCAGCGTCGTGACCCACTCGACGTGCGGTTCAACCGAGCTGCGAGCGAGCGAGCCGACGACAATGTCGCGGGTCAGATCGTACTGGCCTCTTTGACTGCCCTCGATCCCGTCGCGGCCCACGAGCAGCTTGCGGCCCAGAAACAGCTGCAAATCCACGAGGTACGGCGCATCGGTGTCCTGCACCAAGCTGTAGCTGCTACCCTCCTGGTCGGCACGGGCGGTGCGACCGACGCGATGCACAAAGACCTTGGCCTGGGGCGGGAAGTCGTAGTTGACGACGTTGGCCAGCACGGGGATGTCAATACCACGGGCCGCCAGGTCCGTCACGACCATGATGTTGGTGCGGCCGTGGCGGAAGTTCTCGACCTGGATTCTACGGGCGGTCTGGTCGAGCGAGCCGTAGACATAGGACACGGCAAAGCCGGCCTCGGACAGGATGGATGCCAGGTACTCGACGTGGTGCTTGGTGGCGGCAAAGACAATCGTCGAGTGCTCGGTGGGTGCCACCTTGGAGGACACGTAGCCGCTGTTGAGGCGCTTGCGTTTCCGCGGATTGGCGTCATCGTCGTCGCCGTCCCCGCCGCTGCGCCGACCCTCCTCGCGCGCCTTGAGGGCCGCCTCGGGCAGGCCCAGCGGGATCTTGATGACATCGTGCAGCACGTGCAGCAGGGCACCCTCCTTCTCGGGGCCCTTGACGCTGAAGAAGGCACTCTTGAGCTTGGGCGAGATTTTGGTCTCAATGTCCAGGCGCACCAGGCTCGGGTCCTGCAGACCAGCCCGTGCAAACTCAACGAGCGACGACGGCAGCGTGGCCGAGAACAGCAGCGTCTGGCGCGACGGCGGCAGGGCGTGCAGAATCTCCGTCAACTGGGCGGCGAAACCCATCTCGAACAGGCGATCCGCCTCGTCAAAGACGACATACTTGATGGACGACAGGTCAAGCGACATTTCGACCTTGAGATGCAGGAAGCGGCCGGGCGTCGCAATGACAATGTCCGGGTTCGACGCCAGCAGCGCAAACTGCTCCTCGAGGCTGTCTCCGCCGACCAGCAGCACCGTCTTGAGGTCTGTGTCGCGGCCGAGCTCCTTGACGACTTTCAGCGTCTGCATGGCCAGTTCGCGCGACGGCGACATGATGAGGGCCCGCGCGCCGACACGCACGCTGTGGGACCGCAGGCGCTGGATCATGGGGATCACAAAGGCGGCCGTCTTGCCCGAGCCGGTGCGGGCCATGCCCACGACATCGCGGCGGCCCAGGATCAGCGGGATCGTCTTGCGCTGGATGGGCGTCGGCACCGAGAAACCCTTGCGTGTGATGGCGCGCAGCAGCGTCGGGTTGAGGCCCATGGCCTGGAAGCCGCCGCCCTTGACGGACGCAGCGCCCTTGAGATTGCTCGTCTTGCGGAACGCGGCGGCCTGCTGCAGCGCAATGTAGGCCTCGTCGTCGCCGTCCTCCAGGTTGGCGCCCGTCAGCACGCCCTTCTTCTTTGGCAGACCATTGCTGGCGTCGGTGAAGCCGCCGCCCTCGAGGATGGCGCCAAGGTCGAGGTCGTCCTCTTGCGGCGGCGGTGCGGTCTTTGTCTTTTTGCGTTTCCGGCTGCTTGTTTCGTCGTTGTCGCCGTCAAGATCGCTGCCGAAGCCGCCAAAGTCGTCGGCGAACAGGTCGCCCACAATGTCGACCTCGTTCTCCGACGGCGTCGGAGAAGCGAACCGGGCGGACATGGCTGGTGTGCGTGTCCGTGCGTCCGTGCGTCCGTGCGTCCGTTCGTCCGTCTGTCACTACTTTTGAGTGAGTGAATGTGTTTATATCGGTTTTGTGCTGCGGCGTGATAAAAGGGGAAAGATGCCGTGATCGTCCTCCGCTGGCAGCGAGTGGATGAGGAAAGTGCGACGGTGCGACTTGTCTGCATTGCTCCTTCCGATTTTTTAGGCGGTCCCCCAAAAAAAGTCTTATCGGGCGCTTTATCTTATCGATAGCCGTCTGCCCAAGGGCACCTGCCTCAACTGGTGTCAACTGGTGTTAAGTCCGCGTGCCTGCCCACACAGCGCCTGCAGCAGTAGGAACAGCCCCGCTTTTGTGTCACAGCGAGCCTTGTCGCTTCCTCCAGTGCTTTACAGCGGCATCAAGTTGACATTTTTGCTTGATCACGATCACGACGACAGCCATCACGCTTCTCTCTCGCAGGCCAGCGACCGGTCCTGGGACTTTTGGCTTTGTTTTTGTCACTCGCTTTCGTACTGATATTTCTGGTATTTTCCTCGCCACGCACCCACCGCCATGGCCGACGACGACGGGCGCGATGCGCTCAACATTCTCGAGTCGGAAAACAAAGAGGCCGTCAAGGACGAGGAGATCTCGCGCATCCTCGGTGCCTTTCGACTGGATGCGTGAGTCCTGTGTTGTGCATCTGGTACAGTTGTTTTACATTGTTCTCCCCGCTAACAGCTTTAGGTATGCCGTTCTGGGCCTGCAGCCCGGTGTGACCGAATCGGACATCAAAATCACGTACCGCAAAAAGTCGCTCCTCATTCACCCCGACAAGACACGCAATCCACGCGCCCCCGACGCGTTCGACCGCTTGAAGAAGGCGCAGACGGAGCTCATGGACGAGAAGCACCGCGAGCGGCTGGACGAGGCGATTGCAGACGCACGCATGCTGCTGATGCGCGAAAACAAGTGGACCGCGGACAGCCCCGAACTCAAGACGGACGACTTCAAGGCGAAATGGGCCGACAAGACCAAGTATGTGCTCATCGACAACGAGCAGCGGCGACAGCGGCAGCTGCGGGCGCAGATGCAGGAAGAGGGCCGGGAGCAGCGGCGCGAAGAGGAAGAAATCGAGGCGCGCAAGCGCAAGCGACAGCACGACCAGGACTGGGAGGCGACGCGCGACCAGCGGATCGACAGCTGGCGCAAGTTCTCCAACAAGAAGTCGGGCGGTGGCGAGGGAGGCAAGAAGAAGAAGAAGATAAAGACGTTGGGTTAGGACGACGACCGACAAAGTCTTTTGATCGTCGGCGAGGATCGGCGACGGATTGTGTCTTTTCACGGCGTATTGGGGGTCATATGGCGTTGTTCTGACAAGGCCACAGGGCCCTGACATTTTGTTTTGTTTGGCTCGTGCATCTTGATTCGTGATTCTTGATGCTTGGTTTTGGCTCTGCGGTCCTCTATTATATAACAGAAATACAATTTACATTTTTAGTGCCTCCGAACTCCAATGCAAATGCTAGATAGATGGAAACGACGCCCCTGCGCGGCCTACTCCACTGGCGCGTGCTTCTTCTTGTACTGGATGAAGCGGCCCAGGTTGAGCACAGCCTCGTCGGCGCGTGTGCGCAGCTCCGTGTTCAGCCGCTTGTCGATCGCCTTGGCCATGGCCTTGGTCTTGGGCAGAGCAGCCTCGAACGCCGTCAGCAGCTTGTCGTGCCAAAACACCTCCCTGTCGCAGTCGGCCTTCTCGTCGCCGTAGATGTCAAACAGCTGGTTCAGCGCCTCGACAATTTCGGCCGGCGCTGCCCGGCGGTCGGCTGCGTTGACGAGGCCCAACAGGTACTTGCTAATTTCGCGGTTGAGCGCGGCCGGCGCAGGGTCGAGCGCCATCTGGCCAAGCACGCCGATGCACTTGACGGGCAGCCTGCTGAACGGGTCCTCTTCAACCTCGGCGTCGGCGTTGGTCTCGCCGTTTGTGGCCGCTGCCTCGCGCAGCGCCATGAAACGTGCAGGCTCGCCGGCGTCGGTCGGTGTCGTGCCGCCCAAAACACGCGACAATGCCCAGGCCAGACCAGCGACCTGTGCAGCGACGTGCAGCTCAACCGACGCCTCCGCAGACGTGGCCGTCAGACCCAGCAGCGGCCGCACGACGCGGAGCCATATACGACGGGCCACAGGCCGCCAAGCAGAGCGGATGGCCGCGTTGCCGTCGTCACGCAGGTCTACCAGCGACACCGTCCAGGCAATGTTGTTCAGGGCGGATAGGGCGTCGAGCAGAACAGACACCGAGTCAGAGGCTGCGTCTTGAGCGCGCGCAGCAACGAGACGGATAATCTGCGGGATGGCTTCGGAAATGAGGGACCGCAGTGTGGTCAGGTCCTCAAGGCCCTCGCCTTCGCCGTTGCCGTTCTCGATGTCCTCGTCGTCCGCACCCGTCACATGCTCCATGTCGCGGTCAATGTCGATGCCGTTGTCGCTGTCGTCGTCATCCTCCTCCTCGCCGTCGACATCCATACTGTCGTCGGCTCCAACCGCCTTGCCGTCGTCATCGTCCGCCATCTCTTCATCGTCGCCGCCACCGCCCCCGTGGTCACCGTTCTCTTCAAAGAGAATGCTGTCATCCGCGGCGCCGCCCTCGCCGGCCTCGCCGTCCTGGATGCCGTTCCACACGGCCTCGTCCTTGTTTCCCTTCTCAAGGGACGCCTTGAGCGTCGTGCCTATCAAAGCCAGCGTCTGCAAGGACAGGCCAAGGACCTCGGCCGAACGGTCTTCTTCGTCGGCATCCTTGACTTCCTTCTCGCCAGAAGCGGCACCCTCCTTCTCTTCGCGGTCCAACTGCTGCTCAATAACACTCGCCAGTGTCGGTACCAACACCGCGTCTGACGCGCCCTCGCGGCCGGGACTGTGATCGTACCACTCAAGCGTCGCAAAGACAGAGTGCAGCAGCGACGCCGCCGCCACTGCCAAGGGTCCACCGGCCGCCTGCAACCGCCGCAGCGCACCATAACAGCCGCCACTGGCCTGGTCGTCGACCAGCGTCTCGGCCAGTGCGCGCTGGCTCACATCGTCGCAGAGGCGTGCCAGCGTGGTCAACGCGGCCCACTGAATCTCAAATGGCACGGCCGTCGTCGAGGCGGCGCCGCTGGCCGCTTTGGCCTTGGCGGTCGAAATATGGATGGAAGCATCCCCTGCCGCCAGGGCAAAAAGCGCCCGCGTAATCGTCGCCTCCTTGGCCACCGCCGCGAGGATCTCGTCGCGCGCGTCCGCCAGCTGGCCCAGCAGGTCGATGATGGCCGACGTGATGCGCCACATAAACTCCTGCTGCGCCTTGGTGAGCTTGCTGTCCGTTTGCTGGCTGCTGCTGCTGCTGCTGCTGCTGCTGCTGCCCTGCTCGAGCGTGGTCCGGATCTGGCCCAGAGCGTGTGCCGCCGGCGTCAGCACGTCGCTGCGGTACAGGTGCACGCAAAAGTCCGCCGCCTCGTGCTGCGCCAGCACGTTGAGTACCGCCCAACCCGCCGCGCGGCTCTCAACACTCGCATCCGCCAGCGTCTCGCTCAGCACGAGATGCACCACCTGCTCTCGCAGCAGCAGCTTGCGGCACCGCGCGTCCTCGACAATGTTGGCAATGGCGCCGGCCGCCGCCGTGCGTGTCGCCGGGTTGGCGCTGCGCAGGTCGCCGAGGACAGGCAGAATCTTGGCTGTGCGCAGGGCTGCCAGGGCCGGATCGGAGGGCTCCTTGACAGCCTTGGGAGCACGAGGGCCACCGCCGCTCATGGGGTCAGGACGGCGACCTGCCGGACCTGACCTGTTTCTGCGGGACTTGCCCATAGTGAGGAGGCGTGTGGAAGCCGAGTTTCTTGCTCAAACTCGTCAATGGGTGAAATATGTGAGACGCAGTGGAAAAAATGAGCTGTGAGAGAACCTCCAGTATTTTCTGAAAGTAAAAAGGTTCGACTGGGTGAATGTTTGTTTTGCAGGTCGTTGTAGGTGCAGGGACAGAACCGAATAGCTCAAATTTTCAGTGTGGCCCCGGTAATCGCATACCGCATAGATGCATTCTCCACTTACACCGCCAACGACAACACCCCTTGGGACGTCTCCGGGTTTATTTAAGTTATTCTGGGCCTTTATCGAGTATAAGTTCAGTCAAATCATACAATATATTATTCAAACTACAATATATGGTGCGGACATTAATAACTGTCGTAGTAAGTTGTTTTTATACAACAACTTACCCACTCAATAACTCTTCTCTATGTAAAATAAATGCAATGTACGTCTTTTGAAAAAATGTATAAATAAAAGAGACACAGGTAAAATAATAATTGAAAATAAATCCAATTATGAAAACTTTAGATTGGTGGTAACGCACTCCATACAATGAACAACTATACTACTACAGACCGCAGTTAATAAATGGTATTGTTTTCCTAGCAAGATTGCTATCCCTCCATTTGCACATTTGTAGGACACCATCAACGAGATCCTAGAGTTCAACGAGCGCTTGCAAAACTGGTTTGTACTTCCCTTCAAGATCCTTTTGGTTGTATGTGCACATATTTGTTCTCCCTGGTACCAAATTGTATACACTTTGATAGCACCTCTCCATGCCAGGTCAAACTATCAGTTTTCCAGATGTATGAATATCTCCGAGCCACATTTTCGATCCCGTCCTGGAGCTCGAGAATGCTCTCCGGACAAGCATCGCACCCGAGGCAGTCCCAATCCATAAACTTGACGTCCTGTGGCCAGTATGTGGCTTGTCCGCCGTGTTTTGCGCTTCAATTTTGCTTCTTCTTTTTCCTATGTACCACTACTACAGAAGAATAGTTAGCTTTTGATCCATCGAGGTGGAATAATCATAGATATCAGACAAGAGTACTTAACCGTGAATCAGGAGACCGTGGAAAGAAGAGAAGCTCATTAGTGACTTGGAGTAAGCAGCTTCGACGGCTTGTTGGTCCCGTTCATTGTCGCGTCCGGTAGTCTCCCTCCATACTAGCCGATGCGGCCAGGGGTAAGTAAACAATCAGCATTTGCTGCTGGTAGTTCTAGTTTCTGTAGAATCGTGACACAGCATTGAAATCCCACGATTTTGTACGTCCCGTCTGCTCCTCCCTGAACTATCTGACTACACCGCTCACCGCCCAGTCGGCAGTTCTACCGTCGGCCACTCCTTCCAAATAGATACGATGCTGGGGGCGCACTAAACCGGCAGGCACGACCGAGCCCGGCCCCACCACCGCACCTTCCCTCCGGTGCCTTCACAGCATCGTCTGTGACAGAAAAAGAAGGAGCAAAAGGGAGCACATGACTTCCCGCAATTAGAGCCTGGAAAGAGCGACCCATGCCTTAAATATGCGCAGAGCGGACTGCCCTCCAACTTGACCGCTTGGTCACTGGCCATGGCCAAGTGGTCGAGTCGGTTCGACTGCACGCCCTTCTTAGAAGGGCGTCTGTTCGAGCCCCCGTTGGCGGTTTCATTCCTTGGTCGGCAGGCCCTGGGGTGGCCGTGCAAAAACCTCTGCCGGGGTTTTTCATAGCCTGACAGCTTAATAGCGCGTCTATTAAGCTGGGAAGGTGAACTTTTTGCCCCCTTCGCTCTTTCCTGTTTGTTCTGCCCCCTTTTCTTTTCGTACTTGTTTTTTTCCTTCCCTATTTTTTCTTTTTTTTTTTTTTTTTTTTTTTTTTTTTTTTTTTTTTTTTTTTTTTTTTTTTTTTTTTTTGGCACGCATAAACAAGATAGCATGTCACTGAAACATAACAGTATAGTTTTGTGAGAGACATTCCTCGTTGAGATATTCTATTTGTATAATTGCTTTTGTACAGGGTCATTCACGTTCAATGCACCGAGATCAAAGGACCAAAACAGAAGCCCACAAAGAGACCAAAACATCGAGCGTCAATATCACGACCACAACAAAACCACGACTACACAAAAACCACACGACACACGACACACCACTCTCCCCGACATCAACCCGCCCCCTACAGATTCGACCGCACACTCGACGATGCCATGGCACGTGGAGCGGCCGCACGCCCTGCCTGACGACCAAAGACAGTGCCCGATGTCAGGCCCGAGCCACCTGGGTAGTTTCCATAGAAGAGGCCGCCCAGCATCTCGCCTGCACAGAAGAGACCTGGTACCTCCCGATTCCCGGCTGCGACAACGGCCGCTGTTTGCGGGTTGACAGCGAGACCGCCAAACGTGAACGTGACGCCGCAGGCAACCTTGACGGCCACAAACGGGCCCTTGTCGATGGGCAGGGCCCAGTTGGACTTGGGCAGCGCCAGGCCGCCGCGGCTGGACTGCGTCGATACGCCGTCACGCACGGCCGGGTCCCACCTGACGCGGGGATGCGCGGCCTGGAAGGCGTTGGTGGCGGCGTTGTAGTCGTGCATGGTCTCGAGGAACTTGGCGGGCGAGTGCAGGCCCTCTTCTCGGGCGAGCTTGTCAGCCAGCTCCTCGAGCGTGTCGGCCCGGATCTTGCGCACGATGCTGTCGCGGTACTCTTCGTCGCGCAGCCAGGGCGTGCCGCGCGCGTCCCACACTTGGAAGGACTGGCCGTCGGGCTGGCCCATGATGGCGCGGCCAAACTTGGCATAGGTGTAGTTGCGCAGGTCCACGCCCTCGTCGACAAAGCGCTCGCCCTGCGTGTTGACCACGACGCCCAGCGGGTAGCCCGACTTGGTGAACTCGTGGAGACGGCCCGGTCGCCGCTGTTGGCAGGCGCATGGGCGTCCCACGCCACCGAGTGGCAGCCGGACCAGTGCCCGGCCTGCTTGGCCCCGACGTCGCGCATGGCAAATTCGAGACCGTCGCCGGTGTTGTACGGCGTGCCGCGCACGAGCGCCAGGTCCCACCCGGGGCCCAGATACTGCGCACGCATGCGTGGATTGGCCTCGAAACCGCCGGCCGTAAGAATGACGGCCTTGGCAGAGATGCTGCTGGTGCTATGGGCGGACGAGATGTCCGTCGACGCAGCCACGACGCCGATGACTGTCCCCTCGGCATCCGTGACGAGCTGCTTGGCCATGGTCGAGAAGAATGTGGCGACGCCCGCCCGCTTGGCGGCCCGCCGGAGGTCCTCCATCAGGCCCTTGCCGCCGTCCTGCGTCTTGAGCGCCATACCGCCCCAGAACTTGTACCGCCCAACCACTTTGTACGCCTGCCGGTTGAACGACAGCTGGAACCGCACGCCGTGCTTGTGCAGCCACTTGACCGCATCGTTGGAGTCGCCCACCAGCGTGCTGCCCAGGTGTGGGTCCGACCGACCGGCCGTCACACGCAGCAGGTCACTCGTAAAGTCTTGCGGCGTGTACGGCTCGAGGTCGATGATTTTCGACGTGGCCGCGTCGACGTTGTTGACAAGCGGCAGCAGATCGGCCAGCCCCGCGTGTACTGTGCGAAACGCGCCCGCCGTGAAATACGTATTACCGCCCGCCCACTCTTCAGGGCACTTGTCGATCAGCACCACGTTTCGAGCACCGTTTTCACGAGCCGAAAGCGCCGCCGAGAAGCCTGCGTTGCCGCCGCCGACAACGAGCACATCACATTCGGACGGGAGGGACGACATTGTGAGGGAGAGGCGAGACGACGATGGTGGAAGACGGCCGGTGGCGAGAAACGGTTGAAAGTCGGAGACGCCAGTGTCAGCAAGGTTCAGACTGACCACTGTTCGTTGGAGTCGGTTGGGGTAGAGGAAGAGAGCAGATCGTCGGTTTTGATTGCTACGTTGTGAAAAGGGCTTGTGACCAAAACCGCAGTCACTCACGTTGCCCTACCCCCATCTATACAAGCAGAACGACTATTTATTTACCGGTCTAATTTGGCCGGATCGCCGGTTATGCCTCTTCGTCGCGGCCAAGGGCCGTGGCTGGGACCGTTTCCGGCTCAGCCCTCGATATCGGAGCGTATAAGTGGGCGCGGAGGAATTATGGCCGTCAAAGCGGGCCTCTTGGGACTTTTCTGTGTCAGCAAGCGCACGGAGAGTAAGACGCCGCAAGAGGGAAACGCTTGGAAGCGTCGGTTGCGGTCTATTGCATCGTATGACGCGCCCCGGCTTTACTTTCCCCGCTCGCAAAGCATCCTCACAATGCAGATACACGCAGACCAAGCTTGGTCTTTCTACCTTTGTGAGCCGTCGAGAATGCAGTCTGGATAGGGCGTTTTGCGTTTTGGTGACTATAAGAGCCCTCACGTGGCCAAAATGACCATTGTCTGGTGATGCCACGCGGGTGTTTTCCTAGGCCAAAATATCCGGATGGCAATCTTTTGTTGGGAAAATCTCGTATTTCTCAAGCATCCCTTGTCCGTTCACTGTATTGCACTTGAATCAGAGTGTCGTTGAGGGAAGATATCGGTTCTATCCAGCCTTGCTTCTTCGGCATGTGACCCGGAGTTTGCTGCAAAACCAGGTCGCCTCTACGCTCCCGGCGGTCCGGCGATAACACCAAAGTTAGCACTGTAAGTCAACAAAAGCATCCTCAACACCAACCACATCACCATCCGCCAAAGTGACTTGGCAAACAACGGACGGACGACTGCGGACGACGACAGAGAGTCTTGTTTATCTTCTTGCTCCCAATTGTCGTTCTTCAAGCGGAGATGGGGGAAGGACGCCATCGCATATATAACAGCTCTCCGGTGCCCATGGCATGCAATTGGTGAGAAACCATTCGCAAGAGGAATGGTCTTGTAAGACACTGGGACTTGTGGTTGCGAGTGAATCGTCACGAAGGATCACCTGTTCGTTGTTGCATATATTGTCTTATTAGTAGTCGTGTTTCCCTCCAATTTGATTGACCGATTCTATTCATCTTTGCGTGCAATGTGTGGCAAAGGTGTAAGTGGCAACCGAGGCGACACCATCGAATAAAAGTTGAGTCGCATCGCCATTGTCTCTAGCTTTGACAGCTTTTGATGGTAGTAGGTGAAATGAGATTGCGATGTCAGCTTAAGAGCTGGATTATGTTTTGTGTGTGCTTTTCTCATTGTTTGCTTGGAAGAGTCTGTTGACGTTCTTGCCTCGCGAACGTTCAGGGTCTTGTTGATGACTAATCACCCTGCTAGCTCCATATTGCGAAGCTTCAGAAACGGCAACTACAACCGCCGCAGCTTCCGTCCAGGCTTCTGTCCCGGCGACAACATGAATTTCACGCCCAACAACGACAATGAGCGACAACGAGGGCTACGACAGCGACGACCAAGGGCCAGGCGACGCCCTGCTGCAGTCGTTTCTGCCAGCGGCATTTGGCAAAAAGACGCAGGAGGCCGACATTGATGCACAGATTGAGCGCAGCCGACGGCCAGAATGGAGGGCATCGGCGAGCGCCAACGACAAGGGGGCAAAAAAGGACGACGATAACGACGACAACAAAAGCGACAGCGATAGTGACAGTGACAGCGACGGCGACGACGGCGACGACCTGGACCGGTATCCGCTCTCGCACGAGCTGGTGTTCAAGACGCACGAAAAGGCCGTGACCAGCGTGTCGCTCGACCCCAACGGCGCGCGCATGGCCACGGGCTCGCGCGACTGCAATGTCAAGCTGTACGACTTTGCATCCATGACGCCGACGACGCTTCGAGCTTTCAAGAGCGTGGACCCGTGGCAGCAGGGCGCCAGCAAGCTGTCGGCCACCACGGAGTCGCACCCGGTCAACCACGTGGCCTTCCACCCGCACGCCGCTAGCGTCATGTTGTGCATCACGGCGCACCCGCAGGCCAAGATTCTGTCGCGCGACGGCGAGGTGCTGACTGAGTTTGTCAAGGGCGACATGTACCTGCGCGACATGCACAACACCAAGGGCCACGTGGGCGAGGTGGCGACGGGCGCGTGGCACCCGACGGACCGCGAGACGTGCGTGACGGCCGGCGCCGACAGCACGCTGCGCATCTGGGACGTCAACAACAAGCGCAGCCAGCGCGACGTTATCGTGTTCAAGTCGCGCGCAGCCGGGTCGGCGGGACGCTCGCGCATGACGGCCGTCGCGTGGGGCGCGCCCGCGCACGGCGGGGGCAGCGACACGGTGCTTGTGGCGGCCGCGCTCGACGGCTCGCTCGTGCTGTACAGCGGCAACAACGGGCCCTACTCGCGGCCGACTGCGGAGGTGCGCGACGCGCACGCACCCAACACGTGGACGGGCGGCATCGACGTCAGCGCCGACGGCCGCATGGTGGTGACGCGGGGCGGCGACGGCGTCATCAAGCTGTGGGACACGCGCAAGTTCAAGCAGCCGCTGGTGACGGCGGCCCACGCGTCAACCGACGCCGCGGACCGCTTCCCAATGGCCAACATCCGGTACGGACCCAACTCGACGAGCATTCTGGTCGGCTCGCCCGACGGCAGCCTGCACGTCCTCAACCCGGGCAACCTGCGGCCCGAGGTCGTCACGCCGGTCACGCCGGGCAGCCCGCTGATCGCAGTCGAGTGGCACGCCAAGCTCAACCAGGTGGTGACGGGCTCGGCAAACGGCGAGACGCACGTGCTGTTTGACCCGGTGCGGTCGCAGCGTGGCGCCGCCGACGTGGTGCGCCGCGCGCCCAAGAAGCGCCACGTCGACGACGATCCGTCCTTTACCATGGACCAGAACATTGGCATCACAAACGACAACATTGTGGTGCCGGGTGCCCAGCAGATGGCCAGCCGGCGGCGCAAGGGCGTCACGAACACGGGCAGGTCGCTCGACCCGCGGCGGCCGACGATGCCGCAGCAGACGCCGTTTGCACACAACGGCCCCGACGACAAGAGCATCGAGAAGAACATTCCGCTGAGCCGCATGCTGCACGAAGACCCGCGCGAGGAGCTGCTCAAGTACGCCGAGGCGGCCAAGAAGGACCCGGTTTTCACGGCTGCATACAGCGTCAATGCGCCTGTGACGGAGTATGCCGAGCTGAGCGACGAAGAGGATGCTCCGGACAAGAAGCGCACAAAGAGGTAGTTGGGGGGAAGGGGGGGGTACGATGGGAAGAACCACATAATACGGGCTCTCAATTGGGACCTAACCGACACCAACTGTACAATACAATAGAAACTACGATACCCATGAACACCAGATATGAAAGGACGAACCATAGAATACGTGTGCGCTAGAGGAGCGATCCGTCCGTCGATACTGTCGAAGCGTCTCGCGAATCGTAGACTCGTATAGAGCGATATGTACTTACAAAGTACTCGGTGGAGTAACTCTTTCTTGATCCCCACTTTTCTATCAACTCCCATTGGCCTCGCCTCTGTTTATCGCCTGCGCGTCGCGCTACGATTGGCGCCTCAGGCAGCAACGCGCCACGCCCTACCTGCCTCCTGCCTCCTGCGTTCTGAAATCTACCGCAGGCAGGCGCAGCCATCCCGCCCCAACCATCAATCCACCCACTCTCCCACACGAAATCTTGCCAGTCGTGGTCCTTTCACTTCCCACATCATCAACCGGCGAACAGCGCACGCATCGCAAAATCGCCAGACCCCCTCCGAATCCATCGAGTGCCATCGGAGGACACGCCGAGACATCGAAACACGCGATTTTTCTCGCGCGTCCTGCCTTTGACTCCGCTACACAGCACCCCCAAACCCGCCGCAACCGCTTTTGAGCCTCTTTTTTCCGTCTTTTCCTTTTGTCCCCTTTTTGCTTCAAATCCCCTTTACCCCTGTTTTCGCCCTTTCGCTCATTTGGCCCTTTCGCATTTTGGCGCTTGGCCAGCTTGCGAGCTTCCCCCCTCCCCATTATTCTGATTATTCTGACCTCCCCATTGTTGTCGTTTTTCATCCGCCTACGTCCCCCCAACGCCGATTTCCGTTGTCGGTGCCTTTTTGGCCCTTTTTGTGCCCCTTTTGACCCTCTTCGACAACACGACTCTGCTTCTTTTTCGGCCGTTTGCCAGCCTTACGACACGCTCCTTTTTCGTGTCGGCCCCCCTTTTGCTCTCGCGCCCCGTCCGTCCACACGACGCGACACCGTCTCGACAGCAATAGAAACGGCATCGACGCACATAACGACGCGATTCTCAACCCGCCGGGAATCGTCTGTCAATTGACGAGCGTCCATCCGTCATCACCGGTCATCGCCAGTCATCGCCGGCGACGATCCCCTGACGTTCGTTTTCGCCCGTTTTGACGCGACTGGGCCCGACTGCCACGTCCGCTATGCGCGATTCGTAAACTCGTGCCGTTCGACAAACTCATTCCACACCATCCATCACCGTAGCTCGTCCTCTTCGACCACGATCCGGAGGACACACGTTACAGCGACGCGCATCTTCTGCCCGCCATGGCTTCCGTCCAGGCTTCGGCAGCTGCCATGCCGCTGGCCAACACCGCACCGCCCAACGGCATCACGCCGCAGCAAGTGCAGGAGGTCTACAGCGTATGTCTATGTGATTGTGTTTCGCCACGTCTACGGCTCCCATGCTAACCTGGTTTCCACAGCGCTTCCGGCAAATGAAGGAGCAAGGCGTGCCCCAGACCGACCCCGACTTCATCAAGACACAGCAGTTCCTGCTCAACATCCAGCAACAACAGGCTTTCAAGCGCCAGATGCAGCACCAGCGCGACACACAGCAGGCCGCACAGCAAGCTGCCGCTGCTGCCGCCAACGGCGCCATCATGAACGGTGGCGGGGCGCCGCACCCCGGCCGCCAGGCTCCAGGCTTCCCTGGCACCCCGATGGGCCGGCCCATGCCGCCCAATGCTGCCGCGGGTGGTGCAGCACCCGCAACACCGGGCAGCGCTGGCAGTGGTGCACCAGCTGGTGCTGGTGCTGGTGCTGGTGCTGGTGCTGGTGCTGGTGCTGGTGCTGGCACGGTTGCGTCGCCCGTGACGGGCCACTTCTCGCAGCAGCAGCTGAGTCTGCTGCGGCATCAGATTCAGGCTTTCAAGCACCTTTCTCGAAACGCCGGCGTCCCTATGCAGACGCAGCAGGTCATCTTTAGCCAGCGCGCACGGCGGCAGAATGCGTCCGTGTCCGAAAAGCTGGCAGGCACGAAGACGCCCGCCACTCCGACCACGGCTGCTGCACATAAGGGTGCTGCCGCTGCTACTGGTGGTGGTGCGGACGCCGCAAAGGCCGACGCTGACGGCGCCGCGCCTGGCTCACAAGAGCTGACCGCCCCCGGCCGCAAGGTCAAGTCGTTCAAGACCGTCCAGTCGCCCTACGAGTCTGGTGCCGTCCGCAAGACCATCAGCTACTTCGACCACGGCCGCCGCATCAACCGCCCCGTCATCCCCGGCATCCTCCCCACCGGCATCGACTTTGACGCCCTGCGCACCGAGCGCGAGAAGATTGTCTTCAACCGCATGAGCGCCCGCTACGCCGAGCTCAAGTCGCTCCCCAGCAACATCAGCCACTGGGACACCGCCACCAACTCCCTCACCCCCGACGACACCATCAAGCGCAAGGCCTACATCGAGATGAAGTGCCTGGGTCTGTACTCCCTGCAACGCGCCCTGCGCGACAAGATCGGCCGCCAGATGATGCACTACGACAACCTCGCCATGACCACCAACCGCAGCAACTACCGCCGCATGAAGCGCCAGAACGTGCGCGAGGCCCGCATCACCGAGAAGCTCGAGAAGCAGCAGCGCGACGCCCGCGAGCACCGCGAGAAGAAGCGCCACTCCGACTTCTTGGCCGCCGTCACCAAGCACCGCGCCGAGCTGACCACAACGGCCAACCAGCAGCGCAACAAGATGCAGAAGCTCGGCCGCATCATGTACACCCAGCACTTCAACATCGAGAAGGAAGAGCAGAAGCGCATCGAGCGCAACGCCAAGCAGCGTCTGCAGGCCCTCAAGGCCAACGACGAAGAGGCCTACCTCAAGCTGCTCGACCAGGCCAAGGACACCCGCATTACCCATCTGCTGCGCCAGACCGACGGCTTCCTGCACCAGCTGGCCTCGTCCGTCAAGGCCCAGCAGCGCGACGCCGCCGAGCGCTACGGCGGCGACCCCAACCTCCGCCCCGACGAGCCCGAAAGCGACGACGACTCGGAGGACGACGACCGCGCCAAGAAGATCGACTACTACGCCGTCGCCCATCGCGTCCGCGAAGAGGTCACCGAGCAGGCCAACATGCTGGTCGGCGGCCGGCTCAAGGAGTACCAGGTCAAGGGTCTGCAGTGGATGATTTCTCTCTACAACAACAACCTCAACGGTATTCTGGCCGACGAAATGGGTCTCGGCAAGACCATTCAGACCATCAGCCTCATCTGCTACCTCATCGAGCGCAAGCACCAGCCCGGCCCTTACCTGGTGATCGTCCCGCTGAGTACCCTGACCAACTGGAACCTCGAGTTCGAGAAGTGGGCCCCGTCCATCGCCCGCATCGTGTACAAGGGCCCCCCGACCACGCGGAAAGCCCAGCAGGACAAGATCCGCCAGGGCCGCTTCCAGGTCCTGCTCACCACGTACGAGTACATCATCAAGGACCGCCCCCTGCTCAGCAAGATCAAGTGGTTCCACATGATTGTCGACGAAGGCCACCGCATGAAGAACAGCAACTCCAAGCTGAGCGCCACCATCTCGCAGTACTACCACACGCGCTTCCGTCTCATTCTGACCGGTACCCCGCTCCAAAACAACCTGGGTGAGCTGTGGGCCATGCTCAACTTTGTCCTGCCCAATATCTTCAAGTCGGCCACCACGTTCGACGACTGGTTCAACACGCCCTTTGCCAACACGGGCGGCCAGGACCGCATGGAGCTCAACGAAGAAGAGCAGATCCTCGTCATTCGTCGTTTGCACAAGGTGCTGCAGCCCTTCCTGCTGCGTCGTCTCAAGAAGGATGTCGAAAAGGACCTGCCCGACAAGACCGAAAAGGTCATCAAGTGCAAGTTCTCGGCCCTGCAGGCCCGCCTGTACAAGGAGATGCTGAACAACAACAAGCTCATTGTCGGCGACGGCAAGGGCGGCAAGACCAGCGCGCGTGGCCTCAGCAACATCATCATGCAGCTCCGCAAGCTGTGCAACCATCCCTTTGTGTTTGACGAGATTGAGACGGTCATGAACCCCCAGAGCATCAGCAACGACCTGCTCTGGCGGACGGCCGGCAAGTTTGAGCTGCTCGAGCGCATTCTGCCCAAGTACAAGGCCACGGGCCATCGCGTGCTCATGTTCTTCCAGATGACGGCCATCATGGACATTATGGAGGACTTCTTGCGCTACCGTGGCTTCCAATACCTTCGTCTCGACGGCACGACCAAGGCCGACGAGCGCTCGGATCTGCTGCGCGACTTCAACCGCCCCGACTCGCCTTACTTTATGTTCTTGCTGTCCACCCGTGCCGGTGGTCTCGGCCTGAACCTGCAGACGGCCGACACCGTCATCATCTACGATTCCGATTGGAATCCCCATCAGGATCTGCAGGCCCAGGACCGTGCGCATCGTATCGGACAGAAGAACGAAGTGCGCATTCTGCGTCTCATCACGTCGACGTCCGTCGAAGAGAAGATTCTGGAGCGTGCCCGCTACAAGCTCGACATGGACGGCAAGGTCATCCAGGCAGGTCGTTTCGACAACAAGTCGTCGGAGACGGATCGCGACGCCATGCTGCGGACGCTGCTTGAGTCGGCCGACCTGCAAGAGTCGGGTGACCAGGAGGAGATGGACGACGAGGAGCTCAACATGATCTTGGCCCGCAGCGAGAACGAGCTGGCTACCTTCCAGAAGATGGACGAGGAGCGCTTCCACGACCCCGTCTACGGCACAGCACCGGGCTGCCAGGCCGTGCCCCGCCTCATGGCCGAAAACGAACTGCCGGACATCTACCTGGCCGATCCCAATGCCGTCGAGGAGGAAGTCGAGGTTGTCTTGGGCCGTGGTGCGCGCGAGCGCACCAAGGTCAAGTACGACGACGGTCTGACGGAAGAGCAGTGGCTGATGGCCGTCGACGACGACGACGACTCGCCGGAGGCTGCCGCGGCGCGCAAGCAGGCACGCAAGGACAAGCGCGAGCAGAATCGCCTCAAGCGCCTCGCCAACGCAAACCCGCTGACGGGCTCGGTCGAGAACACGCCCGAGGGCAGCCGCGCCAGCTCCGAGGAACCCGAGCCAGAACCCGAGCCGGAGCCGGAGACGCCCGTCAAGAAGCGCGGCCGCAAGCCGAATGCGAAGAACGAGAAGCGCAAGGCCGACGACGAGGACGAGCCCGCACCGCCAGCCAAGAAGCGCCGTGGCCCCATTGGCAGACCCAAGGCTGTTGCGGCGGCAGACCGTGCTGTGTCGGGCGGCGCTGCCAGCCCCGCAGGGAGCCCCAAGGCGTCGATGACGCCGCAGCTGCGCGGTCGTCTGCAGGAGAACCTGCGCAAGTTGTACGACGGCCTGATGACGCTGGAGGTTGACGATCCGGAGCCCGAAGATCCTGAGGACAAGGACAAGGACGAAGACGACGAGCCGCTGAAGCGCATCATCATTGGCCCCTTTGTGAAGCTGCCGTCGAAGCGCGACTATGGCGACTACTATGTCATCATCCAGAAGCCCATCTGCATGAACCAGATCCACGCGCGCATCAAGAAGGGCGAGTACCACAAGCTCTCGGACATGCAAGCCGACATCAAGCTTCTGTGCAACAACTGCCGCACCTACAACGACGACGGTAGTCTGCTGTACGCCGACGCCAACACGATTGAGGTAGGTGTCCCTGTGTAGATATACCGTGTCCACATCCCCATCTGTTGAAATCGTATTCTAACTGTCTAGGAATTCTTCAATGCCAAGATCGCCGAGACGCTGGCAGCGCACCCCGAGCTGCAGGCGCTGGAGCCCGGCGGGGCGACCAAGGCCTCGTCCGAAGCGCCAACGACGACCAACAGCACGCCGGCGCCGGCAGCCACGCCGCTGCCCAAGATCAAGCTCGTGTCGAACGGCGTCTCCCTCAACAAGTCGGCCAACGGCAGCAGCAACGGTAACGGCGAAGCGACAAACGGCACCAGCACCAAGACCGAAGACGAGTAGTAATGCGACCGTCCACGGCCGCCGCTGTTTGACTCTTTTTGTCGTTCAATCACCACACAATTTCATATCAACGACGATCTCCTATACTCACCATCAAAAATCCACTCAAAAAAGCCTCTACAAACTCCCCGACTGTTTTCACCAAGCGGCGTATTTCTCTTAAAGATGTAATTTTCTGTATTCCAAAGACCGGGACGGTGTCAGGCTTTGCACGCGCGAGACGGACTGCTTTGTTGTTTTTTCTCTTATCTTTTTCTTTCTCTCTTCATTCTGTTGTATCGCTGCTTTCTCATAAAAGAGAATTTAGGGAATCGGGTCGCGAGAATGACCAGTTTGTGCATACTTTATTTTGTTTTCTCGTGAGACGATAAAATAAATGTTGAAGCTGCCTACTTCTTCCCTGGATAATGGCCGGAAAGGACGGTGTTTTTTATTCTCTGTTCAGAGGACTGGATTGCTATTTTATTGCTTCTTTTTGCGTGTTTCTTCCTGCTTCTCTACTTTGTATTACATCCATTATTTTTCGACTTGTGTTTTACAAAAATACTACCTTTTTAGCATTTCATATATGCGTGGACACTGTGTGTTGTAATATGGCAATCGTAAGGAGTTTTGTCTGCTGTACAATGTAATTGTCCATTTTTCGCTACTACTCCCATTTCTGTGCCGAATGACTCCTGGGCTGCGTGCGGCCTTTATTAGCACTAGTAGAGGTCGTAACCCACAACAAGAACGAACGGTTCCGTGGTCTAGTTGGTTACGACGTCTGCTTCACAGCAAAGCGATTCCTTGCAATCGCAGAAGGTCCTGGGTTCGAGCCCCAGCGGAATCATTCTTTTTTGCCTTTTTGTCAATCAGCCACCAATCCATCGAACATTCTCTTTGAACAATTTCTTTTTTGCTGATCTACTCCCTTCAATCTACTCCCTTCACTTCTCAAGTTGTTGGTCCATCAGTTTAAGATTGATTCTCCCTGCGGCAATTCTAAAATGCAGACATCTGTACGTGTTTGGATGGACAAGAAAAAGGATATAAATTAAATATCAAGACCTGCCGCGTGTCCTGAAAGAAGCCGTGAAAAAAACAGTAGCCAAACGCCAGAATGCACAATTGACATTAAGTGCTCTTTTTTCTATACTTGTATGCCCCGGTTTGTTTTTTATATCTCTAAGTTTCTGAAAACGATTGCGGCAAGAGAGCAAAAAGGGGGCAGAAAATAAAAACAAAACTTCAAGACGGAGCCAAAAATAATACAAAACATGGGGTAAAAGGACGTAAACGTAAGTGGTAAAAAAAGGTTGTCTGTCTCTTGTCTTTCGGTTTGCGCAATCAAACATCCAAAGCAAATCAAAAATTAAATCGTCTCTTTTTTTGGTGGGGCATATAATCAGGCTTTTCTGCATGATATTCATCTTCGAGAGGACTAGGAAGGCTGGAAAGGCAGGTGTATCGACAACAATTAGGACCGGCCTGAATTGTTGTTGTAGAGACTAGAAACTCGTTAGTGAACGTCCTTCTTCGCATAGTCAATTCCCCTGTGGACGTAAGAGTAGGAACGCACCTGATATCCTCCCGATACTCCGAGCCCTCGTCGTTTTCTGCATGACGGACACCGTTCACGGGGCCGCTGCTTGCGATCAGGAACGCACCGTCGCCGTTCGTGGTCACGGAGCCAGCCGCCGGTTTCTTGCCGGCGCTGTGCATGATGTTCAGTCTCTCAAAGTAGTTGTCGGGCACGGGCGTCTTGTAGTTGCCGCAGAAGACACCGACCTCGAAGTCGGTGACCTGGCTTGAGCCGTCGATGGCGTCCATGCAGGCCGCCTTGAGGTCGTCGAGCGTCTGGAACACGAGGGCGTCGCACTTGATCAGGTCGGTCATGTCCTGCAGCGAGCGGCCGTGCGCCAGCAGTTGGGCCGGATCGGCCAGGTCGATGCCGTGGACGTGCGGGTGGGTGATCTCGGGGCTGCAGGACACCAGCACGATGCGCTTGGCCTCGCACTCCTTGACCATCTGGACAATCTCGCGCGACGTGGTGCCGCGCACAATGCTGTCGTCGACCAGGCAGACAACCTTGCCCTTGAACTCGGACGCAATGGGCGACAGCTTGCGGCGCACGCTCTTCTGCCGCGCCTTCTGGCCGGGCAGGATAAATGTGCGGTAGACGTAGCGGTTCTTGACAAAGCCGTTGGAAAAGGGCTTGGACAGCGCCTCGGCCAGCGTGGCGGCGGCGGTGTTGCTTGTTTCGGGGATGGGAATGACCACGTCAATGTCCTTGATGGCCTCCTCGCTGAGCACCTGGCGCATGCGATTGGCCAGCTTCAGGCCCATGTTCTGGCGACTGCGGTGCACGGAGATGCCATCGATGCAGCTGTCGGCTCTGGCCAAGTACAGGTACTCGAATAGATCCGGTGTGTACGACTTGGGCGCCACGATCTGCGCGAAGCGGGGAGCCTCGCCCTTCTTGATGAAGACAGCCTGGCCGGGCAGGATGTCGACAATGTTCTTGAAGCCCAGCTGGACAAGGGCAATGGACTCGGAGGCGAGGAAGTAGTCGGTGGCACCCTCGAGGGTCTCCGATGGGCGGGAGCCGAGGCACAGGGGTCGGATACCATTCTGATCACGGAAACCGAGAATGCCAAAGCCGGCAAGCATGGCCGTGCAAGCAAAGGCACCAATGCAGCGCGCATAGACCTCGCGGAGGGCTGAAAAGACGTCATCAACATTGGCACGGGCCTTGCCGAGCTCGCCGAGGGCATGGGCGAAGATGTTGAGCCTAAACAGGGCCCACAGTTAGAAAGAGACACACAGCGGCCCAAACTACTAATTAGAACAAAGGGAAGCCATACAGAAGCTCCGAGTCGGAGTCGGTGTTGACGTGGCGGCGGGCTTCGTAGTCGAGGAAGGTGATGAGATCGGGAGTGTTGACGAGGTTGCCGTTGACGCTCATGGACAGACCGTAGGGGGAGTTGACGAAGAAAGGCTGCGCCTCGGCACTGTGTCGCGGATGTGTTAGTGATGTCACCGGGGACGATACGAGTGGAACCAATAGTGACGGGATCTCTGGTGCGCGGTGAGCAAGTGGGGACATACGCAGAGGTCGTGCCGGCGGTGGGATAGCGGACGTGGGAGATGCCCATGAAGCCGGGAAGGGCAGCAGTCGACACGCGACGGCCCTCATCAAAGACCTTGCTGGCCATGCCGAGGCCCTTGCACTGGGAGACACGGCCGCCCTTGCAGACGGCGATACCAGCGGCATCTTGGCCACGCTGTTACACATGTCAGTTGTGGACAAAATATGGACGCAGTCGATGGTAGGGAGATGCAATGACCAAAAAAAAAAAAAGAAAAAAAAAGAAAAAAAAAGTCAAGTAAAATAAACAAGAAAACATATTCGGCGATGTTATGTATCGGAGGAAGACGAACATGTTGCAGGTAGAAAAGCGACTCGTGGAGGTCGGCAGCCGCGGTGTCGGCCTTGGAATCACCGAGCTGCAAGCAAAAGAGTCATTGTCAGTAATGTTGCCACGCCGCGTTTTCGTCAATGTGTAAATTCATGATTTTGCGCCCCCCTCGCAACGCGCAAAGACGGCGTGGGGGCACACAGCGTGCCAGTGACGTACCAGGATGGCTGAAACACCACACATTGCGACTGTGTCTGCAGGGATTCGATCTGAGATCGTGGAGAAAACAGACAGAGAACTGCCGATGGCTGAATGGCGACGGGTCGAAAGAAAAACGAAAATCAGGAGAGGAGGAAGAGGGCCGTCGAGTAAGAGGCGTCGACGATGACAGCGGTTGGCGAGCACGGGCGGTTCTTGCAAATGGCGATCCTGTGGTGGAAACACAGATTTGCAGCAGACGCACGATTCGAATGGGTGGTTGGCGGTGCAGCGACAAACAAAGACAGAAAAAAGAAAACCAGAATCAAGAACACGAACAACAAAAAAGTTCAGCGACGATGATGCGCGGGTATTGGGGGCCTTTGTGAGTGCTCCGATGTAGCAAGAGCCGCCCCTCCTCTTGGCTCCTGCCAATGAAAGGGCACCAGACTGCGAAATTGGGAATTTGCCGTCGCGTTGCTAGAAAATTTTCCGCGGGGCAGCAGGCGCAATCGGCTACGTCGGGCCGGCAAATGATCCGCGACTGCTTCCTGTGAGCAAGAGCGCTGCAGACGCTGTTTGACAAGGCTTTGGGCCAAAATGGTTGTCTGAACGGTAGCTCCTTCCTTTTCATCTCTGTCGACTTTGACGCATCTTCAATGCGGCCTTCCACGTTGCGGAAGGGGCGACTGATGCGCGGTGTAGAATCTGACGGTTGATGTGCTGTAATTGTCTCGAAAAGGAAATACTAGAAAAGTGGAGCAATGTTCCACCTATTGTCCCGCCTGCCCCAGTCGGGAGGTGCTGCTGCTGAATTCCAGCGGTGGCTTGTGGATTGCAGATTATGTGCAGCCATCGCCGCAAAGGACTGGAACCAACTCGGTTGCATGCAAAGATATGCTGCAGGTGGGAGGCGCACCAGTGCTGTGAGTGCCACTGAAGGACAGGGGCTCCAGATGCTGCTGGCGATCTGCTCACAATGCTTGGTTCGTCGCTCAGCCTCGTCGTCTTTCTCTAGTGCAAGCCTTGCTACTGTCTGTACCAGCCGTAATGCCCGGGATATGCGTCATATACATGTACAGTGCATTGTTAAGTGGACAGATCCTTGGTTAAGTTGAGCTCGGGCAGCAACTGGAGGTGATACCATTGCAGTGTCGTGGCCAATGAAGGGCCAGTTCGCATAAGGAAAACACAAACAAGCAATAGCTCAGGTAGCAATAATAGTCGTATTATTAAAACAAGACCAAGCAAACCAAACAAAACCAAACAAAAGGCCCGCGTCTCAACGTGAGCATTGAAGAACGCCCAGCTGTCATCCCAATCTGATGTGCAAAACCGGTCCACTTTTCTGTCAAATATGATTGGTCGTTGCGTCGAAAGTAACAGCGCTGTGCTTCAAGGCCCTCTACGGAATTAGTGCTAGTGAGCAAGCACTACGGTCCCCATGCACAACTGCTGTGGCCCTGGAAGCTGGAATCAAACGGTCTCGACACAGAGGGCAAGTGGGTCCACGGGCGCTGCTAGTCGTGGCGGGGCGTTTCTCCTGCTCCTTCCTTGTCCATCCACCTGCTGTTGCTAGTATTGCTCCCTCCCTTTGCTCCCGCTGCGCTCCTGCCTCCGTGTTCTCCTTCCCGTCTGGTTGCTGGTCGTGCCTACTCCGTACTGCTGATCGTATCTTACTTGCTCCGTGCTTCCCTCCTTCCTCGCCAACCCAATTGTCTCTTTCCTCTTCCTACCCCTCGCCATCCGCCTTCTCCTTTTTGTATCCTCGACGACCTCTCTTCCTCAACTTTCTCCTCCTTTACCTCAACAACCCCCTTTTCTCGGCTCACCGACCATTCGACGAGCTCGCTTCGCCTCATCCACGCCCGCCGCCAGCCTTCCGTGTGCCCTCGTGCCTCATATCATCGTGCCTGCCACCGTCTCGCTCTCCGCCCCCCAGTTCCGTCCAATTCAATCGCATCTCGACACCCTCGTTCCAAATGGCTGGGCGGTTTGTGCGCGCTTCCAAATACCGTATGTTGCACGCCATACCATGCTTCTCCAACTGCTGCTCCTCTTTCTTCTCCTGTCCCCTCCTCTGCATTTCCCTCATTCGCAGCTCGTCCCTGCGTTAGCGCAACGTGGCCGATCTTTTGTTTGCTGACATCTTGTTCCTTGCTCTAGGCCATGTCTTTGGCAAGCCGACTCGCAAGGAGTTCTGCTACGACAACCTCCACGTCAGCCGCAATGCCTGGGACACAAACTTGGTGAAGGTGCGTTTGAACAATAGGGGGAGGGGGGGCTGGCGCAAATGGCGCAAACTGCAGCCTTGGGCACAGTTCTCGCCGGGCGCAGTATTGCGCATTGCGCATTGCGCTTGTGCTGGCTGCTGACGCGGACGCCCGCGCCGAGCTGGTCTTGAAACACCACACAACACACCACAGCACCAAGCATCTGTAACTAACCCGCCACTGCTGCAAACAGGCGAACCCCGAGTACCTCTCGGTCAATTGGGAGTCGAGCGGCGGTGGCGCATTCGCCGTCATCCCGGTCAACGAGCGCGGCAAGATCCCCGACCAGATCCCTCTCTTCCGTGGCCACACGGCGGCCGTCCTGGACACCGACTGGAACCCGTTCAACGACCGTATTGTGGCCTCCGCCTCCGATGATGCCCGTGTTTTTGTGTGGCAAGTCCCCGACAACTTTACACTGCACACCGATGCCGAGGAGATTGTCGATGTTACACCCGTCAGCAAGCTCCAGGGACACTCCAGGTAGGCTTCCCTCAGTGCAAGGCCTTTTTGAAGACCATTACCCGCTGACCCAAGCTCCTGTTTTCAGAAAAGTCGGGCAGGTCCTCTTCAACCCCGCCGCCGAGAACATCCTGGCGTCGGCCTCGGGCGATTTGAACATTAAGCTCTGGGACATTACGACTGGCCAGGCGTCGCTCGCTCTCAAGCAGCCCGACATTGTCCAGAGCCTGTCGTGGGACCCCAGCGGCTCGCTGCTCGTCACGACCTCGCGTGACAAGCGTATCCGTGTCTGGGATGTCCGCCAAGAGAGCCCCGTCCACGATTTCTCCGGCCACCCCGGCGCCAAGAACAGCCGTGTCGTCTGGCTGGGCGGGCACAACCGCTTCGCCACCACCGGTTTCTCGCGCATGAGCGAACGCCAGCTGGCGCTGTGGGAGCCTGGCCAAAGTGACCCCATTGGCGGCTTCAGCACTCTCGACTCCATCTCTGGAGTCCTGATGCCCTTCTGGGGTATGTCCTCCCCGACCTATTCCACTCGCTAAATCTCGTCTTCCAAGGTTCTCGTCGAGATTGCTAACGTTTTGTCCAGACGAGGGCTCGAACTGCCTCTACCTTGCCGGCAAGGGTGACGGCAACATCCGCTACTACGAATACGAGAACGACAAGTTCGAGTTCCTTTCGGAATACAAGTCGGCCGACCCCCAGCGTGGTCTTGCCTTTGTGCCGAGACGCGGCGTCAACGTACGTCTGCACAGTTCTGTCTATCAAGCGTTATGACACGCCAGACCTTACTAACCGACCCCGCAGGTCCACGAGAACGAAATCATGCGCGCCTACAAGACCGTCAACGACTCCTACATCGAACCCATCTCCTTCACCGTTCCTCGCCGTGCCGAAACTTTCCAGTCGGACATCTACCCGCCAGCTGTCGGCCTGAAGCCGGCCGTCTCCGCCAAGGACTGGCTGTCGGGCAAGACCGGTGTCCCGGCCAAGATCGATCTCGAGAGCGTCTATGACGGCAACGCCCCTGTCGAGGTGCCATCCGACTACAAGCCGCCTGCAACGAACACCGCGTCCGCCCCTGCGCCGGCCCCTGCATCGCCTGTGAAGGCCACACCGCCCAAGAAGGAGCCCGAGCCCACCCCGGCGCCTGTTCGCTCCGGCCCGCCCCCGAGCGTAAACGACCAGAAGCAGTCCATTTCGACCATGGCCAACAAGTTCCAGGACGACGACGAGGAGAGCAGCGACGACGACGATGCCGAGTCCACGAGCTTTGAGGAGACTGGCCGTCCCCAGCCACGAAGCGTTACAGTGGCCGCCGCAGCACCGGCCGCCGCGACCAAGTCGCCCATCACGCCCTACAAGCCCCCACAGGCCACGTCAAACGCCTCGTCGCCACCGCCGCCGGCTGCTGCCGCTTCAGCCATCGCCTCCAAGGCCTCCACGCCCGCTGCCAGCCACACCTCGACATTCTCGCCCAGCGCGGCTGCTGTCCCCTCTTCTTCAAGCGTGAACGGCAACAGCAGCGGCGGCGGCGGCGGCAGCGGCGACATTGCGGACACCCTGGCCAAGCTCATGACGCTCGTTCAGTCACAGAACGGCAAGATTGATAGCCTGGCCAGTGAGGTGGAGGGTCTGAAGAAGCGGCTGCAGCTATCGTCGGAGCAGAGCGAGCGGATCCGGCAGCTGGAGCTGGAGCTTGAAGAGGCGCGGTCGTAGAGACCAAGACGGGCGGTGTGAAGATGTGAAGGCGATGATGCAGGCATGAATTAACGGGGAGTAGGTAGCGGAAAGCGGTGTGTCGACTTTTGGGGATTTGGGGGTAACAGAAAAACACCATGCTTTTTCCCTTACCATTGTTTCGTCTCACAGTGTCATTTTTTATCCCTTTATATGACGTTGGATGTATGTGCGTTCGGGAAGAGCGATGAGGAAGGAGAGATAAATGACAAGCTGGTTTTTTTGGGTGCCATTGGCCATTGGTACACTTTTCTGAGCTGTTTCTTGGTGCAGTTGTTTCCCACGCTTGTTTTGTGACATGTTCATTTTCTCCTTCCGATCGGTGTGAAGGCTACATCTTTACTTTTTAAGGCAAGAAGCTGGTCAAATCGCGGAGTCAAGAGAGTTGAAAACTTATGGCATGCCGTTCAAATTCAAGCTCTTTGACTCTTTTCCCTTTCAGTTCGTCGGTGAACAATCCCTTTTGTCTTGATGTTTTATTTTACATGTGTCAAATTGCACGGCACATCCACGCAGCTTTTTTGTTGGTTGAACAAAATGTCACCTATCATATTTACAAAATATTGTTCACGACATGACATTTTGCATTGCGTTTCAAGAAGGACAACGTCTCCGCCTTTCGTGGATATTTTTCTTCTGCTTTGCGTTTTCTCTCCATTTCTTCCCTTTCTTCTATGCTCTAGTCTTCCTTTTGACTCTCCATCATCCTTATTTTGGCCAGGTCGGAAAGTCTTTATAAACCGGCGATACAACAAGATTCTCCATCCTCTTTCTCTTGTAGATAATCCATCATCTTCATGAGAATCCGGCAAACAAAATCACATTCACCTTGATAGACCAGTGCTGGCACTATTCTATCGACCTCGTCCGTTCACAATCTCTCTATTCACTGCATTCCTCGAACATCTCCCATCATGTTCCGCTCCTACGGAAGACATCAAGAAGAGGCCATGGCCACCGAAGACGACTCTTGGTACGACCAAGACGACCAAGACGATCTCACCTACGAGGATGAGGTCGAAGTGTACCAAGGTGAGCGATTGGCCATCAGAGACAACGGTCCAGGACATAAGCTCTGCTGGCCATACATCGCAGGCCGCGTGAACCAAAAAGCAGCGACCGTCACCCCCAACGCGTCAAAGCAGAGCAACACCAATCATCATGAGACACTCGACCTGCAGATGTCTCTCTGGCCCACTTTCCGAAGGGTGGACTTACCCAATGTTGAGAGCTACGCCAGGCCGCCTTCGAGGCGAGAATGGCTCGGCCCACCGGATCGACGGAGCGACGAGGAGAAGGAGAAGGACAGGGAAGAGTACGACAAGGCCGTGGTGGAGCAGGAAGCCAATGAGTACCACTTTTACGACATGATGGCTCGCATTGAAAATCAGGGGAAATGGCGGCGCGCATGGCACGACATTCTCCAAGAAGGGCACGGGGTGCCGTGGACCCTGCAGGACAACAAGGGGCAACCCAGCCGGTCCAATTCGACCAGATCGGCCAAGACGACGACAGCGTCCGGTACAAAAAAGAAACCCCCGCCCAAAGTCATACGGCTCCCACCGACGCCACCGCCTCTGCCGCCGTGCCTCCAGTGCACCCTCGCCGGTGCTTGTTGCTCGCTCACGACTCTGCCCTATGCCCAGGCCTTTGTCAACGACAGGGTCTCGACGCGCCAACTGCCGGCAAGCCGCACGGCAAGTACTGCCGAACCTTCCTGGGAGACTACCTTTTCGAATCTCAAAAAGGAGCTGGAGACGACTTGCACCACCGTTGACGAATACACAGCCGAGCTGCCCTGGCGCCGTCAGCAGCTCGAGCAGCGCATGCTGCGCCAGGCCATTGTCCGCGGCAAGACCGACTCGCCGTTTCTGCCGCGGCCGCCGGCGCAGTGCTTTCGGTGTGTACGGATGGGCGATGCGGCCTGCCTCCAACAGTCGCGGGACTTGTCCAATACAGCCTCGGGGGCGGCAGGGCAAGGCACGTTGATCGCCTGGTTTGCGAGCAGCGGGCCGCCGCCAGAGTCTCTGCTTCCACAACACAGCATTTCCCTCGTCGACCAGATCCGAGGTAGTCGTGATGACGGTCCATCCGCACAGCACGCAGCCGTCCGGTCACAAGGGCACAGACCACCACGTCCTGTTCTCGAGGCCATCTTCTGCCGCAACCCATGGGTGCTGGACGCCGCCGGCGTGGCTGCCAAAGCCAACGACCTCCTCGAGCAGATTGCAATGAACTACACGCGCGGTGCCAGCACGGGAAGTCGTTTTTCGCAAAAGAAGCCTGGTGGCAGAGGCCATGGACAACAGGCCACGCCCAGCTTCATCAAGGCGTTTTGGCAGACAAGTGTCGACACGACGGTCCCGAAAGCACAGGGTGGTGTTCACGTCCGCCCTGCCACTGCACTCGAAGTTTCCCGCCTGCTTCCCCGCCGCAGCTGGATGAATGTGTATGCGAGTCGCGGCGTGGCCACAGTGAAACCGCTGATTATGAGAGTGGCAAAGCGAAACGGGTTCATTGCGAAAACGAGAGTCTTCGATCCAACGATTTGCCACGCGACGCCCCCTGCTCTACCTGCATGGCATACCAACGACAGAAACAGCGGAAACGGCGGGAACAACAGACAGATGGACGTGACAGATAAGGTGCAGCAATGGCTCGACGGCCAAGGCTCTGTCCCTCCGCGTGCGCCACACAACATCAACTGGCAAGAGTACTTTCTCAACGTGGCCGAGAGCCGTGTCGCAGCTCGACGTCAGGCCCAGAAGCCCAAGCCAAAGAGAAGCAGGCGGGCCAAGCCGCTGGCCATCCTGCCGCCGATTCCGCATTCGCCGCCATCAGAGTCACCGCCTCAAAAGCCCGTTGCGGTCGACGTCAGCCGTCAGAGAAATCCAGAGACGAAAGAGCAGCGAGAGGCGCGAATCGCCAGGCTGGCGGTCGCCCTGGGCCATCGCGTGCGGGCGGAGCAACAGCGGATTCTCGGTGAGGCGGACCCTGCCCGGCGCATAAAGGCAGCTCCATTCGGGCCAAGCAGGCGGCCACATGGGCTGAAACGCTCTCTCGAGGACGAGCTTGCCGTTGACGATATCATCCGACGGCTGTCGCGCAGCTTGGACCTAAACACGTCCAGGGAAATAGCGAACTTGGCAGTCGGTCCGGGACGCAAGTAGGAAGTAAGACGATGGAGACTCTGTGACCGACCTTTGAAAAAAAAAAAAAAGGAAAAGAAATAACATTGATATACCTTCATACCACTGCACCCAACACCCCAAAGAGTTCACTTGCGTCCCTCGACCATGATAATGTGATACCCAAACGACGTCTTGGCCTCGCCCACGACAGGCGATGCCGTCGTGCTCGCCGGCAGTGCAAAGGCCACAGCCTCAAAGGCCAGGTCTAAGCTGCCGCGCACTTTCCAGCCCAATGCGCCGCCCTGCCGTGCCTTGTCCTCGGAATGCGTCCGCGCAACGTCGTCAAACTTGGCGCCCTCGTCCCTGATCTTGGCCAGCGCCTCTTCCTTCTTGGCATGCTTCTCACACTTTCGTTAAATCGTCAGTCGGCTGTCTGTCTTTTCGTTCTTCTTCCTTCTTCCTTCTTCCTCCTCTTCTTTTGGAACCTACCAGAATATGGCGGACGTTGATCTGCTGTGCGCCCTTGACGTCCTTGTCGCCCTTGTCGCCCTTGTCGCCCTTGTCGCCCTTCTTGTCGGCTGTGCCCTTCTTGGCGTCGCCCTTTTTGGTGTCAGCCTTCCCCTTGGCCATAGCTGCTGTGGTTTGTGGAATTGTGAGGAAGAGTGTTGATGTTTAGGGTTGCCAATGTGCAGATGCGCAGTTCAGGCAAGAGCGACGGGAGTTCGAGACGGAGGCAGCGTGCCCCGCTTTTATGAGCTCCAAGTACGTCGTACATCATACGTGAATTTCGGGCAGGAGCTCAAAGACTGAACGACTCAACGTCCGGAAGGTTTTCTCTTTTCAACATGCACATCGTGTATCTTCTTTTCTACTTTGTCAAATTAGCTTGAGCTCCATCAATACAACGCCGTTTCGAGCAGAGCATAAAACCTTCACCAAAAAGCCAAGACAGACTGATTACAATACACTTCATTTCTCAACAATTATTCTTCTGTGCCCACGCTTTTTGTAAAACCTCCAGTTCAAATCCAAGAAAATGGGAAAAAATAACGACACAAAGCCTCGTGCAGCCTTTCACATTCGTGAGAGTTGTCGGTCACAAGCAATTGCGGTGGTCTTGTTGACCCTCACCGCCTTCCACTTGCTTAGAGCGGTCTGCGCTAATAAGAAAGTTTGACGCGGCAGAATCGCGCCTTCCCACTCTGAAAATATGCGCGGAGCGGCAAGTGCGAACTGCGATTTTTCGATGCAAAGGTCGGTCCTTCCCTTTTCACTCGCTTCACCGGATACGGCCACTGCCTAATCCATTTTCTCGCACTCCTTTTCTTCCCCCTCTCCTCCTTTTCTCCTCGTTTCTTTTCCTCTCTCTTACCAACCCGTTCGACCTCATCCTCTCGCCACACGAGAGCAGGCATTCCCATACCTCTTCGTCTCCGTCATCTCGCTGTCCTCGTCTGTCTTCACCACGGTCTCCCACCTCGAGGTCCCGCCCAGCCAAAGGCCTCCCTGTTCTTTTTTGGTAGCGGGCTGTCAAACTGCTTGTTTCTTCTTTTGGTTTCCTATTGCTTATTGCTTATTATTGTTTTATTATTATATTCTTCTTCCTTTCGTTTTGCTTTCTTCACGCCTTGGAGTTGGACGCTTGTATTCTTCTCACATCCAGCCATCACCATGGCCAACAACCCACCTGTCGCACCACCTGGCAACCAAAACCCAGAAGTCCGGGCCAACTCCGAGAAGAAACTTGGAATTGTGCACTACACTTCCTCTCTCGACTTTGGCTGGCAGGGCGACATTCGCAGACGGTACGTACCAATGTATGACTAGCCATTTCCATTTGCTGTGCTTGTCGCTGACGCCCACGGCCAGGTATACCGACTTCATCGTGCACGAAGTGCGCAAGGACGGCACCGTTGTCTACCTTTCCGACGACGACGTAGTCGAAGAGTACAAAAAGGCAGAGCATCGACCAGAGACCACGGCCGCTCCGACGCAACAAGAATCCGCCCCCACAGACCTGCCGGCCGTGCCGGCCGTGCCAGTCGTCGTCGAGAAATCCACGGTCCCCGAGGTGCCGCCGATTGACACCGATGGCCTTGTGACACTCGTCGGCCCCGAAGTTGCTAAACAAATGCACGAGGCCTACGCCGCTATTGTCAGCGGTGGCCCGGCTCCTTCCAAGTTCACCATTGCCGTCGTCAGCGACCGTGCTAAGCGAGGCCATTATCACCAGGAAATCCGTCGCATCTTTTCCGGCCGTTTCGAAACCCGTGCCGAGGGGGACTCTGGTGCCATCGTCGCCATGCCGAGTGCCAGTAGCAATCGAGCTCGAACCGGTGGCCGACACGGCGCCAAAGGTGCCAAAGGTGCCAATGGCAACAATGGCAACAATGGTAATAATTCTGGTGACAACAGACGCGAGAACCGAGCGGGTAAAAAGGTCAACAAACCCATCGAGGGTTCCGGAAAGTACTTGCATTTCACCATGTACAAGGAGAACAAGGACACCATCGAGGCCATCAACTTCCTGGCCCGGATGCTAAAACTCAAGGCAACCAATTTTGGCTTCGCCGGCACCAAGGACCGCCGTGCGGCCACAACGCAGCGCGTCAGCGTTTGGCACCCCGGCAACCAGGGCATTGGATGGATCAACGCTCGCAGCGCCTACGTCAAGGTCGGCGACTTCAACTACAACAAGAATCCCATCCAACTTGGCCAGCACGGCGGAAACGACTTTGTCATTGTCCTCAAGGGCGTCGAGCTGACCCGCGGCGCCAACTGCTCGCTGAGCCACCGTCTTCGCATGACTGAGGCATGTGTGCAGTCGGCCCTTGACCATGTCCAGCAGCACGGTTTCATCAACTACTTTGGTCTCCAGCGATTTGGCACGCACACCGTTGGTACGCAAGAGGTTGGCCGCATGATCCTCAGCGAGAATTTTGAGGGCGCTTGTGACGGAATCTTGCATGTGGACCCGGCACTGGCCGCCGCCCTGGGTGACAGCGATGTTGAGTCCCGCTTCCAGCGCGACGAGATCAACCGCGCTCGCGGCATCCTCAAGTTCAAGACCACGGGTGACGTCAATGCGGCGCTGAACATTTTGCCGAGACGCTTTAGTGCAGAGAGCTCGCTCATTCAGCACCTGGGACGCACGAATGGCTCACGCCGCGACTTTTGTGGCGCCCTCTGCCGCATCACCCGCGGTCTCCGCAACCTCTACATCCACGCCTACCAGTCTCTTGTGTGGAACTGGGCCGTTAGCCAGCGGTGGTCGCGCTACGGCGACAAGGTCGTTGCCGGCGACCTCGTGCTCGTCGAGTCGGAAGCCAACCCGAACCGTCTGCGGCCCGACGGAGACCACGATATGTCTGAGGAGCAGAACCAGGAGGAGGAGCAGTTCTACCAGGAGGCCCGTGTGCTGAGCGCTGAGGAGGCCGCTGGCGGCCACTACACAATCTACGACATTGTCCTGCCCGTGCCCGGGTTTGACGTGCTGTACCCCGACAATGACATTGGGGAGTTTTACAGCGAGTTCATGGGCCGGCCCGAGAACGGCGGTCTCAGCCCTTACAACATGCGTCGCCCTCAAAAGGAGTTCAGCCTGAGCGGCCACTACCGCAAAATCATGGCTCGCTTCACGGCCGTGCCCCAGTTCTTCGTCCGTCCCTACACCGACGACTCGGAGCAAATGCACCCCACCGACCTCGACGACATCAGGGCAGTCCAGGAGGAAAAGAGAAACGAGAAGGCCAAGGCTCAGCGTGAGGGCCAGGCCAAAATGGAGGAGGTTGGTAACAGCCGGCGTCGTCGCCCCTCGTCCGACGTGCCACACAGCTCCAGCGACGAGCGCGTTAATGACGCCTGGATCGAGAACACTGCGGACGGTGGCAGCAAGCGCATCAAGATGGACGGGGACAACAATGAGGCGGGAGCTCCCACCGTCGCAGACGCGGTGCAGGCGCCCACCCAGAGCAGCAGACGGTCTAGCTCGCCGATGGCCATCGATGCGTCGACTACCAAGGCTGCCGCTCCAGCCGCTCCAGCCGCTCCAGCTGCCGAACCTATTCCCGCTCCCGCTCCCGATCACGTTAAGACGTTACGAAATTTGTTCAAGCCCGTGCCCAAGACCAAGATCACTAGAAATGGCAACGACATTGGCGCAGACGCATCGGCCGACGACTTTACGCCGGCCATCAATCGCACCGCTTGCTGGCGCGAGAGCGCACAGGACTTGACCGAGAGCGACGACATGGAGATTGCCGTGGCGCTCAATTTCCGCTTGTCGTCGAGCAACTACGCGACTATGTGTCTGCGTGAAATGATGACGGGCACCCTGACTCCAAGCATGCAGGCGGCTGCGGCTAGCCGTGCTGCCAGTCGCCAGGCTTCGCCGTCGGCATAGAATCTCGATTCCCTCCGTCCGAAACTTTTAGTAATTTGTCGGAGAGGAGTCTGACGAAAGCAAATCTACACTCGACTTTAAGTGCGTGTTGCATGTGTGTTCCTCTCAAAGGAAAAGAAAAATGGGAAAGGATCTCGATATTTTCATCTTGTCATAATCTGTCATGATTTTTTTGACTACTGAGCGCAGCATCTACTTTGTACCCAAGGATATACGACGCTGCATTTGCATAATCACACGATGGCAGCCTCATCAGCGCCAATAAAGGGGGGGATTTTGCATAGGAAACAGATGCCGGAATGGCGCTTGTGCTGTTACAGCGGATTGCATAACCGGGCTTTTGTCTGGCTGTTCGAGAAGATACCCATAGGGTGCTTGTCCGTTTTGCTTTCTTGTGAAATGAAATCAAAAATGAATTATTGCATGTCATGTCTTCGTCTCTCGAGCGGTCCAAAATGGGACCCAGGCAAAATATACAGGAAAAAAAAACATAACCATAAAAGTATCCAGACCACGGCAAAAGGAAAATGCCATACAAAGTAGTCAGCAGCATATCCAAAAGAGTGCTTTACTGCGGTATTCTTCTCTTTCAGTCGCCCAGCGCCTTCTCTCCATGCACATGTACATCTCTCCGGGTCATTTTGGGCTTCTCGTGCGAGTTTCGTCTTTCATCCAAAGGCTATCCAAAAGCGAAAATAGGCCAAAAGAAAGTATGGGAACTGTACCCACGGTTTGCAGTCTTATTTGAATGCCACATAAGTGGTTATAGAAGAGGCATCGGTAACGAGCCATAAGCAATCTCGGTCGGTCGGTAGACGTGTGCGTCGGTGTACTTCTACCACGTTAACGAATTTTGCATGGTGTGTGCTAGTTCAAGTTCAACGAATTGATGGCGCTGGCGAGGGTGCCGCCCGCAAGCGTGCCGCCGTCGGCCGCCTGACTCGGCTCCTCGTCCCAGCCCCAGACCTTGGACAGGAAACGGCTCATATTGACGCGCTTGCCGCTCATCTCCTTCACCCACGGGTGGTCGAGCATTCGCCACGGCGTGGCTCTGCGGTTGGGGTCCTTTTCGAGGCTGTCCATGGGTTAGTACAAAGGTTACGCTGTAATAAGATGACAGTTGATAGTTGGGCGGAGGGAGCGACACATACCAGCACTCGATAAAGTATTTGAAATTCTCACTCCAAACAATGTTCGCGTCAGGCTCGTCCTTGAGCTTGGGAATGGGTTGACGGACAATGTAGGTCAGCAGATCGATTAAGCCAGCCCGAGGCTGCATCTCTGTGCCGTCGGCCGGGAAGGGGAAGCGGTGCTGGGCGACCTCCAGCAACGTGACACCCGTCGACCACACGTCCGAGGTGATGGTGTATGTCTGGCCGGTGATACGCTCCGGCGCCATGTAATAGCTGGTGCCAATAAAGGTGTTGGCCTCGCCTTTGGTTCCAAAGTCACCGGACACGCCAAAGTCGCACAGCTTGACCTCGCCGGTGCGGCACAGCAGAATGTTGGAGGGCTTGATGTCACGGTGGATAATCTTCTTTGAGTGCAGATACGTCAGGCCGTGCAAAACGCCCTCGGCAATCTTGCCCAAGACCTTCTCTCCCGTGCGGCCGCCGAGGCGCTTAACCTCGCGGTAGATGCTGTCGAGAGAGCCGCCCTCACAGAATTCCATGGCGATGGAGATTGTCGCAGTGGCCGGGTCGACAAAAGCACCGTAGTAGCGGCAGATGTGCTCGGAAGCGCACTCCTTGTTGAAGCCCAGCTCGCGCACAATCTGCTTCTTGACGTCTGGGTCTGGGTTCGTCGTAATCACCTTGAGCGCAAAGATGGACTTGCCGCCCTTGAGCTGCGCACGCGTGACGGCGCCACCGGCGCCCTCGCCCAGGCTGCCGAGTTCGATGATTCGTTTCTCCATACTCGCAATGCGCCAGCCCTCGTCGTCGAGGTCTTCCACGTCCAACGTACGCGCCTTCTCCAGGGCCTGCTGGTCAAACGCCTCCAGGCCGGTCATGCTGCCTTCCCGCTCCATACCGACGCCGCCCTCGCTAATCTCAGAGTAGATCGAGCCGACGGCCGACACGGGGTCCGGCGTGCCATGCGGGCGACTAGAACCAATGCCGTACTGGCTGGCAAAGGAGAGCACGGAGTACTGGGAACCGGCGGACGTTGGGTTGCTAGCGCGGCCGTCCAGTGGGCCGAAGCTACCCGACCGACTGTGGGCTGCGCTGCTCTCGCTGCCGCCCGAAGCGCTCTGGAGAGACTGGCCACGACCAGGGGCTTGTTCGTGCGGGATGCCCTGGCTACCCATGGGCGTTGCGAGGTGCAGCACGGGCAGCTGGGGTCGGCCGACAGGCTGAAGCTGGGGGAGGGGGGCGCCAACGGGCTTAACGCTGTTGGAGGACGGAATGGCGAGGCCGAGGCGGGGCGGACGTGCACCGGCGTTGGGCCTTGGCCCTAAGGCGGGCCGGAGTGGTGCTGGAGACGAGGAGACGGGGAGGATCTGAATGGGAGGAGATGCCGAGGAGTTTTCGTTGTTTGGCGTCGCCAGTGAGAGCTGTGGGAAACGGTGTTAGGCAGAGCAACAAAGTGTACGAGGTTGCAACGGACAAGCAACACTTACGCGAGGCCTGCCCTCGGCGGCGGGAGCGCTAGACCCCTGATCGGCCATTGTGTGTGTGTTTGTGGGTGAGGTCGGAAAAGGAAATGGAGAAACGGGTCAAGACAGCAGAAAATAACAAGTATCACGGCCCGACGAAGCAGGCACGAGGCCGTAGATTCGATCGCTGCCAACTTGGCCCGGGCTATGCCCTTGCGTCCAGATGGCAGAAGGAGCAGAGGCGAGGCACAAGGTCGTCTCCAGAGTGTTGAGGCGGGCGTAAATGCAGATTCCTTGGAACGTTGTCCTTTGTAAGTCGAGTCGGCCGTGTTTGTCACAGGTAGAGCAAGCGGGAATGGAGTGGCACGCTGCGATGTCGTCGGACGCAGAAGGGGAATCGAGAGAGAAACGGAAGAAGCTGGAGAAAAGGAACGAACAATCGAATGGTCCAAGATGCAAAGGTATGTATAGTATAGCCAAAAAAGAAGAGGTTGAGAAACGAGAGTAAAAGCAAAACAGTCGAAGTCGCTCGGAACGAGTCGAAACGGAGGCTGCAAAACAGGCCAAGAACGGACAAAGGAAACGAGCAAACAAAAGAAGATACAAACGAGGGTAAATGAAAGTCGTCGACGAGGACCGAGATGTCCCTGCAGTGCGGCGGAGTTGGAGGAAAAGGAGGATGAAGAAAGATGAAGAGGCAGAGAAGGCAAGGAAATGGACAGGTCGAGGCTGGATGTTGTGAGATGCGCCGCCCACACAGGCGTTAGTGCGTTTTAGGAGAGGGGCACGCAGCGCCGAAACCAAACGGGGCAAGAGGTACGAAATAGTTTTCAGGCGGTTCAAGGGACAGGCACCACGCTGGAAGGGACGCCGGAAACGCTGTATTACAGTGGCGAGTCGGTACTAAACTCCTGCGGACATTACCTAAACCGGCTGGTGTGGGGAAGCCGTTGATGGTAGGGCAGAGGGGAAAGAGCGACCAACGAATGTCCTGAACCAAAGCCCTTTCACAGGTAGGACCGACAGGAGCGAAGGAGGAATCGAAGTCGGAAGGGGAAAGTGCGGCAGAGAAGACAGGGAAAACAAAAAGCAAGGAGCGAGGAGCGGGAAAGAACGTTCGACCAGGACAAGAACAGAAAGCACGTCGCAGCAACAACAGGACAGGATGTGTGCCGCTGTTGGGTCGCCCGGACAGGGGGCTGGACGTTGCAATAGAGGCACCGTTGGATCCACAGCAAACAGCCAACGATTTCACCTGGAGAGGGAGAATGAGACTGGACAGCATGGAGTGTTCACTTTCTTTGCTTTGGTCTTTGCTCTTGCCAAGGGTGATTACAGCTTCGCCTGCAGGAGCACAGGAAGCAGCGAATGGCAATGCTTGCTCTAGCCCTGCCCTTCACGTCGACAGGGCGGCTGAGAGAGAAGGAGCAGGGGATGATGAGAGTCGAGAAGGAGCAGGAGCAATCGGTTCGTCGGCGGTCTCGTCACCAGTCTCGGTCTCGCCCTCAGTCTCCACCACTCCCCACCAAGCTCACCAAGCCTTTTTCTCTCCACCAGAATGCACCAGGATTGTCGCAGACGCACGTTGCCCGCGAGAGGATCTTCTGCGACAGGCGATCACTACTGTGAAAGGCCAGACCACTGCTTCATTTGCCGCCAGCAATTACAAGTTACGCGAACAAAACAAACAACTCGTGATACTGAAACGTGAGAGGACGACGAGCCGGCCTCAACGCCAGGAGACATAAATTTCCGCAGCTACTACAAACCGGATCGAACGGGGCGCATCTGCAAGTGCGCTACGAATGTGCAAGAACAGCATGCGGTGCTGCTCTCGGCCAGCACTGCTACCCAACAGGGCTGACGAGCAAATGTGGTGTGGCCAACAGATGCCAGGTTCGGTGGATGTGACTGGCCAGCGACAGGCTCAACTGAGCTTGGACCAGCTGAGTTGGCAGGAGCATGGATCAGAGCAGACAAGTATTCAGAGAATTCGAAGCGAAATGGACGCGTTGCTTTGTTTTCCTTATGTTGATGGTCTGTCTCCTTTTTGATACTTGTCTCCTGCTTGGATCGGCTCCACTTGCTGTGCCGGGCCCTCCTTTCGTCTCAATGGTTGCAGCCCTCATGGCTGCTCGGCGGCTACTGGGACCAACGAACATGGAGAGCATTGAACCAGCCGACTATTTGGCCCTGTCAACAGCGAGATGAAAAGGGGAAGACGAAAGCCACGCCTGTCTATAATGTGCCATCCAATCAGAGAGCGGTGTGTTGAGGAAGGCACGGCATTCCACCCGTCGAACAATGCCATTTCGACGATATACTCCGTCCAGGCTTGACAGACGTCATGGGCGTTCGCCGACGTGTTTTTTTATTATGATTTCTATGCTCCTTTTCGAATTGTACGCTCGCCTTGTTCCATTCGTCGACGGAGGCCCGTTCACATCATCACATAAGTCGCCGCGGTTTGTGCCCTGGTCACCAACGGCGACCGCATTCCGTTCTCTCATCAGAGCTAACCATGCAGTTTGCTTTACATGTCAGCAGTATATGTCGACGACATATCAGCTACAGAACGCATCAATTTTCTCATCAATTGTCACATCCGCATTTCCCTTTAAGCGCCGCCCGCAACCTAGTCTCTGGCTGTTCATAAATTATGTGCTGGCTGCCATGCCGGCTGTCCGTCCCGCCCGATGCTTGAAAGCACCTACCTGTCTCGCCCAGAAACGGTTAACCTGCGCCCCGGTGATCCTCGGCGTCAGGAGAGCCATTATCTTGGGTCCTAGCAGCCTGCATGCCCCTGTGTCACATTGCATCCCTGGTTTGGCTTCATTTCCTCGAGCTTTGAACCTTTACCACAAAAACGAAACAGTCTTATGGGCAAGACCTCTATGCTGCCATGTAAGATACGTCGTATGCTGCCATCTCGCAACTGCTCTTCATTTTCTCCTCTCTCAAGCGCGCGCTTCATGATGGAAAGCTGTGTCCATCAGTGGAGGTTGCCTGTCTTAGTGCCGCTTTCTACAGGGGTTTTAAGCCTGTCCTGGCCTGGCCTGGGCCGTTCTTTCCCCGCCCACGGGCAGCCAAGCCGGTCCACTTATTGCTGCGCGACCTGGGCCTAACTGACTGGCTGTCACCGCCTCACCGCCTAATTTTTGTCGTTCCACATGGGGAAATTTTGATGGCAGAAAAAGTGAAAATACTGGGAAGGAGCGATGCAGCTAGTTCAGTGCAATACGGGTCGTCATACCTCGACCACATCCTTCCTGTTCGAGCCAATCGACCACGCCACAACCAGCCTTTCCCCTTTTGCCCGTTTCCCCTTTTCTCGAACAACGATACACGCCATGCCTGCGTCCACATTACCAAAAACCGATGGCAAGGTGGTCCGGAGGAGCGGCCTGCTAAGCGCCAACCCGCCCGCAAGCGACTCAGACGACGAGTCCGACTATCTCGACAGCGATGAGCCGCGCAAGAAGCGCCGCGTGAGACAAGACGCAGCTGAGGAGGAAAGCTCTGACGAAGAAAGCTCTGACGAGTCGGAGAGCGAAGAAAGCGAAGAGAGCGAAGAGAGTGAAGGGGAGGAGGAAGAGGCAGAGGAGGATGAGGACGAGGACAAGAAGGTGGCGGCACAGCTGCTGCCCAAGGTAGCACATATCCCGTCTACGTTTAGTGCCCCGTCGCGTGTCCGCTCGCGTGTGCCGACGGACGACAAGACGGCGGCAACGGCAGCTGCCCAGAAGAAGGCGATTGACGAGGCCGTCAGAGCAATTGCTGCGGGCGATGCCAACGGCACAGCGCCCGAGGACCCGGCCGCCGACGCCGCCGCCAACGTGCTCGCGGCGCCGACCGACCCCAACACCACCTTTGACGCCATCAGTGTGAAGCCCTGGCTGGTCCGCTCGCTCTCCAACATGGCCATCCGCCGGCCGACGGCGATTCAAAAGGGCTGTATCCCGGCCATCCTCAGGGGCCACGACTGCATCGGTGGCAGCCGCACCGGTTCCGGCAAGACGGTCGCTTTTGCCGTGCCCATCCTGCAGGCGTGGTCGGCAGACCCGAGCGCCATCTTCGCCCTGGTGCTGACGCCGACGCGCGAGCTGGCCCTCCAGATTTACGAGCAGTTCATGGCCATCTCGGCGCCGCAGCCGCTCAAAGCGCTGCTCGTTACTGGCGGTGCGGACATGCGGCCGCAGGCGATTGCCCTGGCCAAGAACCCACACATTGTCATTGCCACTCCGGGCCGCCTGGCGGACCACATCCGCACGTCGGGCGAGGACACGGTTGGCGGGCTGAAGCGTGTGCGGTATGTCGTGCTCGATGAAGCCGATCGGCTGCTCACAGCGGCTCCGACGCTGCCCGATGCTGCTTCTCGCGGTGGTGGTGGAAAGAAGAACAAGAACAGAAGCGACGGCGCGGCCTCGGGCAGCATGCTGCCCGATGTCGAGACGTGCCTGAGCGCGCTGCCGCCGCCGACCAAGCGCCAGACGCTGCTGTTCACGGCCACGGTGACGCCCGAGGTGCGCGCGCTCAAGACGATGCCCCGCAGCGCCGACCGGCTGCCCGTGTTTGTGTGCGAGGTCGAGACGCACGCACCAGCCATCCCGGCCACACTGACACAGTGCCACTTGACCGTTCCCGTGACCCACCGCGAGCACTATCTGCACGCCTTTTTGAGCACAGCGCACAACGCCGCGCTGCCCGCCGTCATCGTCTTTGTCAACCGCACGTCCACGGCGGCGTACCTGCACCACCTGCTGCGGCTGCTGGGCCACCGCGTCACGGCGCTGCACGCCGCGCTGCCGCAGCGCCAGCGCACCGACAACCTGGGGCGGTTCCGCGCGGCGGCGGCGCGCATCCTCGTGGCGACAGATGTGGCTGCGCGTGGTCTCGATATCCCCGAGGTGGCGCTTGTTGTCAACTACGACGTGCCGCGCCTCCCCGACGACTACATCCACCGTGTTGGTCGTACGGCGCGTGCGGGCCGCCGTGGCGAGGCCGTGACGTTTGTTGGCCAGCGGGACGTGGACCTGGTGCTGGCGATTGAGGCGCGCGTGGGCCGTCCGCTC